GTAGCTACGTCCTGTACTCCGAAAGGTGTCAGGTTCGGTCGCTGGTCGGGTGGGTGTGGAAGGCAACCGGTGAATGCTCCACTCCCGTCAGTGCCCCGAACCAGTGGAAGCATGTCCTCAGGTGAGTATTTAAAAATGAAAAGGAAGGAAGACACTCACTGGTTCCCAGCACATTTGCCCACAGACGCCCTTTGCCCCCGATATCTGTGAACACCTCGTGGAGCGGATACTGAGGCATGTAGCTCGGGGGAGACCGTCTGGTCACAGGGCAGACGCCCGGGGGTCAGCGTGTGTTGGCATTGGACTGTGTCCCTCCATACTGTGTGCTGACTCCCCAGGACCCCGTCTGACCTTCTCTGGATACAGGGTTGCTGCAGACATTGTTAAGTGAGGTTGTACTGGGGAGGATGAGCCCCCCAACATGACTGTCCTTAAAGAGAGGAGAACTTTGTTTTATTTATTTACTTATTTATTTATTTATTTATTTTTAGAGAGAGAGGAAGGGAGAGGGAGAGAGAGAGAGAAACATCGATGAGAGAGAACATCGACTGGCCGCCTCCTGCATGCCTCCCCCTGGGGATCGGGCCCACAGCCTGGGCATGTGCCCTGACCGGGAATCGAAACGGCGACCTCTTGGTGCAGGGTCGACGCTCAACCACTGAGCCACACCAGCCGGGTAAAGGGGGGGATTTGGACAGAGACGCACCATGTGACCATGAAGGCAGAGATGGGGAGATGCCTCTAGAAGCCAAGGAACACAGGGTGCAGCACACCCCCAGAGGCTGGACAGAGCCTGGAACAGACTCGCCCTCATGCCCTGCCGGCACCTTGATGCTGGGCACCCGGACTGGGAGATGGCCCCGTCTGTAGTTTAAGCCGGCTGCCTGTGGCGATTGGCGACAGCGGCCCCGGGACATTAGCACAGCACGGACGAGCTACGGCTTTGGTTTCTTGCCCAGGCTCCGGGGTTGGGGCTCCAGGGAGGACCTGGGAGAGGCCAGGGCTGGGCGCTGGGCAGTGGTGTCATAGTTGGTAAGTCACCCTGTGGTTGTGCCTTCGGAAATAGCCAAGTTTACGGGGGCCATTTCTGAGAAGGGAAGTTGGGAACATCCCAAATGCCCACCGACCTGGGAGGGCTCACCAGCCACGAAAGGGTCTGTGTGGAGACGCCACGGTGTGATCCGGGTCCGAGGGGGCTGTGTGTGAAGTGCTGTTACCTGCAAAGGGGGCAGTCGCTGAGGGAGCCCGCGGGTCCTGGCGCTCACACACACTGCAGTGTCCGGCGCTGGCCTCTGCTCGGCCCGTTTCCAGAACCAGGCTCTTCAGGGCCACAGTAGCAGTGGCCATGGGCCCCGGTGACCTGGGGCCTAGCCTGTTGCAAGAGGACCTTCTTGGGCTGACTTGGGGGAGGTGTTCTGACGGCGAGGGGACCTCTGTGCCCAGCCTGTCTGAGGACTTTACAAAACAGTCAGCCAGCCCTGGCCGGTTTGGCTCAGTGGTTAGAGCGTCGGCCTGCGGTCCTGAGAGACCCGGGTTCAGTTCCCGCTAAGGGCATGTACCTCGGTTGCAGTTTGTCCCCGGCCCTGGTCGGTTGTGCGGGTGGCAGCCACTCGATGTGTTCCTTTCACATCGATGTTTCTCTCTCTCTCTGTTCCTCTCTCCCTCCCACTCTACCTGAACAAAAATGGAAAAATGTCCTCCGGTGAGGATAAAAAAAACAAAACAAAACAAAACAAAACAGTCAGCCAAGGGGCTCATCCCTTGGTTTCTTCGGTCAAGGCTCTTGGCTCTAAAATGTAAGTGTTCCCTGGAGTCCAGCGGCCTCTTGTAGGGACTGAGGCAGGGACCCGTGTTGTCAGGAATTCCTGGGCCACCGTCTGCGTTCAATGAGCACCTGTGCGTGTGACTGACCCCCGCCCCCCCCAGTGTCCAGCAACCTGGCGTCGCCACTGAGCTGTGCGGACACGGGCACCAGGGGAGAGCCCCGCGGTGTCCATGGAGACGGTGAGGAGCAGGCCCGGCCGGCGCCTGCAGAGGCGGGGGAGGGGGGATATCGGGGGTGGGGCTGCGGGTGGGGGTGGGGGCGGGGCCAGGCCGAGGGCAGAGCCTGGGCTCCTCCGCCACGTGCTGCAGCCGCTCCTGCCCGGACCCCAGGGCAGTGTCGCCCGCGCAGCCCAGCAGCGCGTCCCCGGACTCGGGTTTCCCCGCGGAGTGAGGGGCCTAGGCGTGGGCCGGTCACCCCCTGGCTGGAGAGAAGCCCATGGTGCCCCAGGCGGCCCCAGAGTAGGGTCTCCCTGCCCTGTCTCGGGGCTCTGGAGCTGTGGTCCCCTAGTTCCCCAGATCACTTTCCCAGCCTCCAGCCAGCAAGGACTTGGTGTTTCCTTGTAAAATTGTCTTTATTTGTAAAGTCCTCTTACCTGCCCGGCGCCGGGGCCTCGGAATCTGAACACGTTATTCAGATGCCTTTAGACGTGAGCCCGGCGGCAGGTCCCTAGGCATCGTGGGGCGGCCTGGAGGTCTGGGTGTCTCCCCCTCAGGCTAGCCCTCGTCCCCACCCTGCTCTCTGTCCTCCACCCCAACAGGACACCTTCCTGACCCTCCCGCGGCTGCAGGGCGCCGGCCTCAGCCCCCAGGAGACACCCCCCCCACAACCGCCCGTCCAGGGGCCTCGGGAGGGGTGGCTGCTCTCGGAGCCCAGCCCCTGCAGGCGCGTGCTGAGGTCCCTCTGGAGGTTGGTGTCCAGGCTGAGGCTGCTCCAGGCACGGCCTCCGCCCTCATCGTTCCTGGGCCTTGTGGGCCTGGGTCAGACCCGGGGGGGCGGGCCGCTCTTTCCAAAACTTCCCCCAGCCCAAAGGGGCTTCCGAAGGCGCCCGGCCCACCCCTGGCAGGTGGGGCTCGGGGGGGGACCAGTGTCCAAGAGCAGAGTCTTGTCCACCACGGAGCGCCTGCAGGTGGCCCTGCCCTCGTCACGGACCCGCGCCATCCCAGGCCCGGAGCACCCTCGGGGGAGAACGCGGGGCGGGCAGGGGAGAGCAGGCTCCCAGGAGTGGGGCAGCAGGTGGCTGAACGGGGTCTGCAGAGCCATCGGTCTGGGACTGTCCATCTGGCTGATGGCTCTGCCGTTTCATGTCCGCGCCCTGCTGTGTGCTAGCAAGGCCTCCGGCCACTGTCCCTCCTGGGCTCACCCGTCTGGACAGCAGCTGGGGGAAGGGCCGTGGTCCCTCTTCCCAGGGAACAGGGCACCTTTGGGCCTGGGCCTCACAGGTCCACTGCTGCAGGTGCCCCAGCAACCGGCAGGCTGGGGTCAGGCCAGCCCGAGGTCGGATTCTGGCCCAGGAAGCCCTGACCGTCCAGGGAGCCCTGACCGTCCAGGGAGGCCTGCGGAGCTGTGTTTGGTTGTCCCAGCCCTTTGGGGGCAGCTCAGGCCTGTGAGTGGGATGCTCTCGGCTCTCCTGAGCAGGAAGGGGTGCCGTGACCCCTCTGGGCAAGGGTGGTGAGGATGCAACCAGAGATGGCCAGGAGCCCTTCCTGCTCCTGAGCCAGAGGGGAAACTGAGGCTCCGTGTGCAGCATGGTGCGGCCGGGACACAGTGGAGCAGGATTGGGGCCCATCCCTGGTGTCCGGAGCGGCTGCCACCTGTTACCCTCTGACTTGGAGGAAGACAGCTGTGAGAACAGTCTTTGCTCATGACCTGTGCCGTTAAGAAAATGGTCAGTTAGCCCTGGTCGGCTTAACTCAGCAGTTAGAGCATCAGTCGGCCCGCGGACCAGAGAGTCCCGGGTTCGGTTCCCACTAAGGGCACGTACCTGGGTTGCATTTAGTCCCCAGCCCCAGTGGGGTTGTGTGGGTGGCCGCCTGTCGATGTGTCTCTCTCATGTCAATGTTTCTCTCTCTCTCCCACTCTAAAGATAATAATAATAAATACTAAAATTGTGTATCACATAAAGAAAAAAAAAAGAAAATGGTCAGATTTATTGTGATGTCTATTTTCCAAGAAGTGAATCATATATTTTAATGAAGTTTTGTCTCAAAAAAGACTAGAGCATAAAAGTGTTCCCTGTTCAGGTTGCTGCCTTTCCGTCACCCAGAACCCGGGGCTTCGGGCACTCGGGTGTCAGGCGTGTGGGCGGAAGGGAGGCTGCTCCCGTGGGGGCCCGTGCCTGCTGGGTTTGGGGAGGAAGGATGGAGGACGCGGCCAGACCAGCCGCTGCGCCCTCCGGACCCCAGCAGCCTGCTGGGCTCAGACCCTTCCCGAGACACTTCCTGGCCCAGCCCTGCCTCACACGGGCGGGTCTGATGTTCTTAGAAATGATCTGAAATCAAATTAAACCCATGCTGGTGACAAGTCGAACAGCAGGGGCCTTTCTGACGGGCCCCAGGCTGGGCCCCAGGCTGCCAGCTCTCTGGGCTCGGGTCTGCACCTCCGGCAGCCGCCTCCTCTCCAGGGTCAGTGTTGGTGGGGGTGGGAGCCGCACCCCACTTGCCTGCACATTTTCCCTTCTTTGGCCCTCAGGGGCCCCCCTCCAGCCCCCTCGGAAGCACTGACCTTGGGTGTGTGATGAGGACTTGCAGCCTCTGCTGTGAGAGACAGTGGGGGGGGGGTGCAGTCCAAGTGAGGGACAGTGCAAGTGGGGGGCCGCTCCTCCAGCTTTGCAGCTTAACGGCCCGATGCTTCTGCACAGCCTCGGTGAGTCCTGAGAGTGCGTCAGCCTCCATGCATGGGGCAGTCGCTGGGCCTCGCTGGGGCTCACGGACTTGGCACAGAGCACCAGGGATGCTCGCTCACTGACCGCCGGGGGCCCTGGTCCCTCTGATCCACGAGGACCTGGGGCCGGGGAAGGGCCCCACTGGCTTGGCACAGATTACAGAGCAGCAACAGTTTGGGGAGGGGGCTCTTTCTTTTCACAGATCTCTGCCCAAGGCCTGGCCTCGTGGCGGGGTGCTGGGCGTCTGTGGGGAGACTAATCAGCTCTCTTTCTCCGTCCCCATTTGACTCCCAGGGGGGCTTTCTCTGTGGTCCGACGCTGTGTCAAGCTCTGCACCGGGCACGAGTATGCAGCCAAGATCATCAACACCAAGAAGCTGTCGGCCAGAGGTAGGGTGGGCGGTGCACAGAGGGCTGGGTGCAGGGCAGGGGCGGGTCCTGCTGCCGTGGGAGCACCCCCCCCCCCCCCCCCCCCGGTGCTGGGATCGCACCTTCACAGGGGTTTGGGAGCCCACCACGGCTGGTGGCCAGGCCCCTGTGGTGGTCAGAGAGTCGTCTGCCTGTGGACTGTGGGCAGAGGACTTGGGTGGCGGGTGGTGCTAAGGGGCGTGGGAGCTGTGCGCACCCTTGCCAGCCCCTCCTGGCTTTGCCCATAGATCCTGCGTGCTGGGGAGGGCTCGGCGGGCCTGCAGGGTTGAGTGCAGTGCTGGCCCCGGGCACCTGGCCTCGGCAGCCCACACCTCCCGAGCCCGGCTGAGTGACGGCCCTGTGGGGTTCGGACAGTGTCCCACGTGTGGGGAAAGGGGGGATGTGGGAATGAGGGCTGAGGGACGGGGACTGGGTGAAAAGCAGGGTCCCAGGTGGGTGTGCAGGGTGGGCCATCTCAGGGCGGGGGGTGGGCGGCATCCTCCAACCCCAGTCTCATTCCATAGGCTTGTGCCAGCTCCAGAAGGGGGAGCCCAAATATTCAGCCCCCCAGACTAATGAGAGAGCTTCTCACTCATCCACATGGACACCACGAGGAGCAAACACCTCCGAATAAGCCCTACAATTCCATGTTCGTGGGACCGTAGGGGAGGGCATGGGGTGGGCCTTGAAGGATGAATAGGAGTTTGTGAGGTTCAAGACAAACCACTTTGGTCCGTATCCCAGAAACCACGCAGCTCCCCTAAAGTAACTCAGACCCCCAGTTCATACTGTCAGTGTGTTCTTCTGACTGGAGGATCAAAGCGGGGGGTCTGTGGTTCCAGGTGTGCCCACCGTTCTTTCTCCTGCCCCATTCTACAGGCCGCTGCCTGACCAACAGCCTGCTCTCGCTTCCGAGTGCCTCCCCCTCCCAGCCCTGCCCCTGCCTCAGTGTCCCTGCTGGGTGAAGCCTGGGTGTGGTGGGCGGTGGAGGCAGGGCTGGTCTGGACTGGAAGCCCCAGGGAAGCCACACCCTGGGGCCCCTGCGCTATCCAGCCCTGCGGAAGTCTGGGGTACTTTGTTTTCCTGCTTAGTTCTTTATTATGGAAAATTTCAAATGTCCCTGAATATAGAGAAAATGATAGAATGAGCCCCCTACACACACACTCACAGGGACTTCCCGGCTGAGGGGCCAGTGGGAGGGGTGTGGAGGGTCTCAGGAACCCGGCTCGCACCTGTGCTGAGGGTGGGCCAGCATCTTGTCTCCACAAGCCCTGACTGCCCGGCGGCGGCTGTGTTCCTCAGCCACCTGCATGTTTCCCAGGGGTAACAGGGACACAGCTGGGGCTGCTTCAGGGGAGCACTGTGAGGGCCGAGGGGAGGGAGGTGCTGCCTGAGCCCGCTCCCCTGCACCATGCTCCCAGGAAGCGGCCCTGGGTTCTCCCACACGGCTTGGAAGCCCCCGGGGGCCGCAGGCATTTCTTCCCGGACACTTGTTCTTTGAGGGCAAATGCGGTGATCTGTGCACCTTCTGAGCCCAGAGCCTGGGAGCTGCCGCCCTCCTTGAAGCCCTCAGGGGCCAAAGTTCTCAGCTGGCCCTGCCTTCCCCTCCCCCCAGCTCTTCACACCCAGGGCCTCTGCCTGTGTGTCCTCTGGACACGATTTCCCCAAACTGTGCCTGAGCTGTTGCTATTTCCTCAGAGGGGTGTCCCCGGGCCTCCAGGGGGACTCTGGGACCCCAGCACCTGCTTTTCCTTTATGCCGTCTCCCATCAGACAGACCGACCACGCGAGGCGGCACGTCACTGGTCTGGCCCAGCGCTGAGTCCGCACACCCGCCCGGGCCTGGCAGGTGCTGAGCTGCCCCTAAGTGAGGAGTCGGTCAGGTGAGGCCGGGCGGGCCCCTGGTCACTGGGCACCTGGAAGGTCCAAGTTCAGGAGCCTGAGGGCGGACAGGAGGCAGGAGGGGGAGCTTGCTGCTCCTCAGAGGTCTGGTGGCCTCTGTCAGCCCGTGTCTGTGTCCCACAGGGTCAGACCTGCTCAGGGGAGAGTCCTGAGCCAGGGCTCCCAGCTTGGCAGGCTCTGTGGCACGTGCCAGACCGGCTCCCAGCCCAGGAGGGCACTGCAGCGTGGCCTGCTCCAGCTGAGTCCTGGGGGTGGGGACGGGGTTGTGGGGACCTGGACGGGACACAGGACACGGCCCACCCTACACCCGCAGCCCCCGCCTGTGCCAGAGGCTGAGTTAGATTTGTGAAATTTAATACTTAATTAAATAGAGGATTGTGAGACATTCAGAGTCTGCGAATGTACTGAATAATTAGAGATTATTAAACTCCTTCACAAAAGCGGTTAGAGGAAAATTAATTGGCTGGGGGTCGAGGAGATCACTGGGGACCCTGGTTCTCTAAACGTTTCTGGTTCTTGCTGCACCCCCACCCCAGCTCCTTGTTGGCACCGCACAGCTATTCGGGGTGATTTTGTTGCCTTGAGGGCGCCCCGGGGCTGAGCTTGGCTGGTGTCAGGGCCCAGAAGCAGACGGCCCAGGAGGAGCCTGGCCAGTGGCCTCGCAGCGGAAGGACAGGGACCGGCCCATGGCTAGTGACTGAGCCCTGACCCTCAGCCGCCCGGTACCCACGGGGCTTAGTGCCCCCAGGCCCTGGGAGGTTCAGAGCCAAGGAGACACCCCCAGAAGCAGAGCCGAGCCCGGGGCGTGGGCGCCGGACTTCACCCGGCTGGGGAGGGCTGACCTGGTGGGGGTGACTCTACAGGGGCGCCAGTGGCCCAGGGGAGACCCGGGGCTCACCTCTGTGCTTCCGCTCACCCCCAGGCCCCTTTGGTGGTCACCCGGGCCCACCCCTCCCCAGGGCTTGAGTGGCCCCTTCTGCCTTGGGGGGCCCCTGCGGAAGGTGTGTGGGCGGAGCTTCCTGAGGGCTGCGGGGCTGAGCCTGTACCGCCCACGCGCGCGGCCCCCACGCCCCGCGGCTTCCCTGCAGCCCGCCCGCCGCCCACCACCCGCCGCCGGGAATCCACCCGCCCGGATGGCGCCGCGAATCCGCCGAACTGGGTTAACGGAGGCGGCACCGCATTGCAGGGGCGGCTGAGCATGCGCGAGCAGGCGGGCACCCCTCCTTCCCGCCGTCCCCCCATTCCTCCTTCGCCTCCCCTCCCCCCTTCCTTCCTTCCCCTCCTCCCCTGGGCACCCCCGCCCCGCCTGGTCCTGACACCCTGAGGCGGCCCCCCAGTGGACTCCGCCCCCCCTCCCCCCGTGTGAAGGCCCAGGACGGCCCCCCAGCTCTGACCCCACGGTTCCTGCGCTCAGGGGCCGGGGTCCAGGGGAGCTTTGGGATGGGGGTCAAGGCACCGGGCCGGCTGCTTAGCGCTAAGCAGCCCAGACAGGACGGTGGCCGGTCGGGGAGGGGCCGTAGGGTTCCCCCTGCGGTGGCGGTGGCGTCTCTGGGAACCCCCACCCTTTCCACATGTCGAAAACAGAATTATAAAGGAGGTTGGCCCCCTCACGGCCCTGTGTCCAGTGTTCCCAGGGTCCCCTGTGTCTGGCAGGTGCATGGTCCCTGCCTCTGGTCACAGTGATAAGTGAGGTGTAAGGACAGGCTGCTGCCAGGGGTCCCCTGAGGCCACAGCCCGGGGCTGGCCCCCCTTGCCCCCCTCCCCTGGACTCGTTCTGCCGTGGGTCCTTGGCCCCCCTTCAGTGCAGAAGCGGATGGTGAGCCCAGGGCAGGGCCTGTCCCCAGTACACCACTCAGCCCCCCGCCCCCCGCCCCCCGCCGGCTGTGTGTAGCGTCCTGGGCACCAGCCGAGGTGGCCCGTGACCTCAGCACGGCGCAGACTCCCGGTTCCCTCCGGCCAGGGCCCCAGCAGAGCCCCCTGTCCCGGCCTCCTCTGGGCAGGGCTGGGCGCTGAGTTCTGGGGAGGAGCCTCCTGCCGGAGGGGCGGGGTCTCCCAGTGACTGGGCCAGCCTCCCTGACCGCAGGGGTCCTGGGGTCCCAGGAGAGAGCCCTGGTGCTGGGCACTTCCCACGAGGGCTCCACTCCCACTCATCCTGACTTCCCAGCAGGTGGCCTCACTTGTTGTCCTTGCCCCCCACCCCCAGACCTTGGGAAAGAGGTTGGCAGCCCCTCCCACCCAGCCCAGCCTCTCAGGCTGCTGCTCTGGTAGCCGGCAGGCCAGGCTCCATGTCCCTCCTGTCCACCTTCTCCTGCCCACCCCCCAGCCAGGGAGCAGGTGGGAGCCAGGAGGGTGGGGAAGGGGGCCTGGGGGGCTGTCAGGACAGGAGGACAGGGGGGCTGTCTCGGGGTGGGGGCCGTGAAGGAGGCCACCAGCCTTGGAGGGAGAGGTGCCCTGGAGGCTCAGCTCCACTTCACACCTCAGTGTCCTCTGCTGGGACTGTGCCCTCCGCGGTCCCCACTTGTCCCCGCCCACCTCCCCATGCCCTCAGCAGCCTTCTCTTCTTTGTGCCCCACCTGGGGAGGGAGACCCTGCCTCGGGGGCCTCCTGCCTTGCCGTGGGGGGGGGGGCTGGTAAGGAGCTGGGTCCACTGTTCCGTAGGGTTGTGGAGCTCAGGGTCCGCTCCTGCGATCTGTGTGACCGCCCCAGACACCTGTTCCTGCTCAGGTGTGGGCTGGGCCACCACATGGTGACAGTCCCAATAACCCGGCCCCCAGCTCCACTGGGGCCACCTCCATCCCCAGTCCCTGCCCACACCTCTCACGGCCCTGGGTTCACGTGTTCACACGGCTGGGCGGCTGAGGGGGTGCAGGTCCAGGTTAGCTGGTGTGTTTGAGAAAAGGTGGTTTGGTTTAGTTTGATGAGCCATTTATGGGCAAACGTGGACACTGGGTCTTATAGGGAGGTGTTTGCAGAAGTAAACAGCATGTGCGGCCCCGTTGCCTCTCCCGACAGGGGAGGTGGGTCGTGTGTGTGTCGTGTGTGTACTAGGTTGCTTCCAGACCTCTGGCTCAGGTGTGGGCCCCCTCCTAGGCTGTGTGATGTGGGGCGCAGACCGCTGAGCTTATGCAGTCAAAAGGTGCCCTACTTAGGAGTCCCCTTGAGTGTCCTGAAGCCAGCATCAGGGCTGCCCACCCTCTCTGACCCAGGACCTGTGTCCCCGGGACCCACTCAGTGCTGCCTCTGGCCTGTGGGTGACAAAGGGCTCACTAGATGGGGTGGGGTTCACGGAGGCTGTAGGCAGCGTGGCCTGTGCCCCTACTTCTGTCTCAATGGTGGACCTCAGACCCCTCTGTGGAAAACTCAACGTGGAGGCACTGTCCTGGGGCCATCGCACACATGGGGTGATGCAGGAGGTCTGACACGGGTGGGTGGGGAACGGGGACCCAACACACCAAAAGCAGGATGAAGGGGGTTTGGGTGGGGCAGGTTCTCGGGGCCCAGCCTGCATCGGTTCTGGGACACGACGACGTGGCCACAGCGTGTCCGTGGCCGTGGGGCCCACGCAGCAGGACCTCCTCCTCCCACCCCTCCTGTCCTTCCAACGTCACATGGCGTCAGCTTTGGTCCCTGATTTCAGGGCGGACGTCACGAAGAGGTCCTGGGACGCTCCCTCTTCATATTCAGTAGTGGCTTCATGCCCATTGGAGGAGCGAGGGTCGAACTGTTTTTTGAAAACAATATCTTGCCTAATTATAACAGTAACATGAGATTGTTGTCAAAGTTGAGGAAACATAAGAAATAAAATAAAATTACTCATAACCCCGCCACCCAAGGTGAAAGTGTTGCCGTGGTGATGACTGTACGCAGGTGTGGTGATGTAGTCCTGCTGTCTGGTGGCCAGGAGGGCCAGTGACCTGCACTGATGGGGTGGACACGGGCGCCTGGGTGGGGCAGCCAGGTGCCCCTTCTTGGCCGCACACATAGTTCTATCTCCAAACACGCAGGAGCAGGTGCAGACCTTCCGGATGGGGCTCCACCGTCGGCGACAGGTTTCAGTAATAAAATAAAGTCTTTTCAGTCATGTACTGCCCGAAGACGGGCTCTGGCATGCATTTCTCTTCTGGTCGGTGTTTATGACTGAAATCGGGCAGTTGTTTCAAAGAGAACCACCCCCTTACCTTCCTGGCTCTCCGTGACCTCAGCCTGGCTCCACGCCATCCACACGCAGGGTGGGGGGACCATTGATGACATCGTTGGGACAGTTGGAAAACTTGGCATGTGGGCTGTAGGCTGGATTCAAGCACCATATCTGCATTGGGTTCACTGTGTGGGGTAACTGTACTGAGAATGTCCTTGTTCTTACGAAATACACTGGGGGAAAGGCTGAGGAACGTGTGTGCACACGTGTGTGCACGTGTGCGTGTGGAAGGAGAGACACCAGCGCCGTCCATGAGAACTCTGAGATCGTGTAGCTTTTCTCTAAGTTTGAACAATGTTCAGAATGATAAGTTTAAAAAAGCACCATGAAAGGAAAAAGCCCCGTGAGCCCTCCCTGCCCCTGGCGCTTCCCCCAGCGCACAGGGGAGGGCGGCAGGTGGCAGGACGGCGCCCTGCCCGTGCGCCCGGACCCCGCGGTGTATTTAGTGTGGGAAAGCGGGACCCAGGCGTGCTCTGTTGCATCGCTGTCTGTCTGTCCATCCTGGTGGGAGCTTCCAGTGTCTGCTGCCACCTGGCTGCCACCACAGCGGATGGGATGGGACCGAGCTGCTGCGTGGGGGGTGGAGGTGAGGGAGCCCCCCCCCCCCGGGCCAGGCACAGCTGGCAGCCAGCTGGACGCCCCAGGTGCCCCCACTTCCCCGAGCCATCCTATCCGCAGGCGTGGCTTCCGCTTGGGAAAGGCACATGCATGTTGGCAAGTATGACACATGTCCTGATCCAGCCACTAGCAGGACACATGTGAGCAGTGGCCAGTGTGCATGCATGTGTGTCCAGTTGTGTGTGTGTGTGTCCGTGCATGTGTGTTTGCGTGTGAGTAGTGGTGAGTGTGCATGTGCACATGTGTGTGCGCGTGTGTGAGAGCACAGCACAATTTGGCGTTTTCTCTGCAAGTGGCTTTTCTCACCCTCCCATTGGGGTAGGGGTGGCGCACAGGCGTGGACGGGCATGTCCTGCTGTGTGTGACTGCAGACACACTTCGTTCAGGGGAAATGTGTGTTCACTGTTACAATCTCGGTCAGCTTTAACATGTTCCTGACACGTCTGTTTGTGTGAAATATACAACATCTGGCTGGGAGGTTGCCGGGTCCTGGGGGACGGCCTCTGGAATGGAGGTCCTGTGTCCGAGGGGGCGCCGGTGTGAGGCCAGGCGCCAGGAACCTCGAGTCCTCCTGCCCGCGCTGCACAGACCCCTCCCAGGCTCAGGCCCGTGGCTGTGTTCCCGTGGGGCGGAGTCAGGTCCTGCAGCCTCTTCCCAGCTGTCCTGCCTGAGGCCCGTGTCACAGACAGCCCCCTCCGAGAACATGTTAGGCGCAGCAGAACGTTCCGGAGTGGGATCAGGGTGAAGAAACGACGGCTGATCTGCACTGATGTGCGTCCCCTCTTCCTGAGTCACCTGAGGGACTTTTGTTTTGTTTTTTAATTTTTCTTTATTGATTTTAGAGAGAGGAAGGGAGGGGAGAGAGAGACATCAGTGAGAGAGAACATTGGCCGCCTCCTGCACGTCCCCCACTGGGGATCGGGCCCACAACCTGGCATGTGCCCTGACCGGGAATCAAACCGATGACCTCTTGGTGCAGGGTCAACGCTCGACCACTGAGCCACACCGGCCGGGCACCTGAGGCACTTCTGAAGCAGCCCCGCCCGGCCACACTGGTGGCTCCCTCCTGCCCCAGCTCTGCTGGCCAGGCAGACACACCCCTCTGAAGCGGTCGGCGGGGGGGGGGGTCCCTTGGCCCAGCGTCTCCTGGTTGGCAGCTGGCTCAGCACAGGGTGGTCTGGGGGTGCCAGGCACAGGGAATGACTGGCTGCTGGGGCGTGAGGTGACACCATGTCCCTTTCTGTCCCCAGATCACCAGAAACTGGAGCGAGAGGCTCGAATCTGCCGTCTCCTGAAGCATTCCAACATAGGTGAGAGGCCGAGGGCGGAGCCCCCCCAGGTGGCAGGCAGCCTCTTTCCAGACCCCAGGCTGCCTTTCTCCTCTGCATTGAGGATTCTTGGGGTGGGGCAGCCCCTTCGCCACCAAAGCCAGTGGTGCCCTGGAGGGCCCCACCCCACCCCTGTGCGACTCGCAGCCAGGACTCTCGCGGAAACACTCAGAGGCCTGGGTGTCTTGTGGCTTCAGAAAAGCCACAAGGTGGTTGATTACAAAGAAGGCTGGAACCAGAGACCAGGTGCGGGCTGAGGGCTGAGGGCTGAGGGCTGATGCTGCGGTCTCTGCCCTCCCCCAGCCCAGGGCCCGGCCTGCGACCTGGGGTGGGGGTGGGGGGGCAGGCCCAGCCCTGCTGGTTTTCGTGGATGGGGGTTGGGGATGCCAGTGACCATTTCCTGGGTGCCTGGGGCCGCTGCAGCCCTGGGGCCTGAACCAGGCTCTTCAATCACAGGCAGAGTCTGCCGCCCCACAGGCGTGCAAGCCCCGTCCCGCCCCAGAGAGGCCCCGTGCTCCTGGCACCGGTGTCTGCAGGGTTCAGGTGTCTGCAGGGTTCCCAGCTCCTCACTGGCGGGGAGACGGTCAGCAGACTTAGGGCTCAGTCTGGCCCCACCACCTGCCTGGGGCCTCTCTGCCACCAGGTCCAGCACGTTCCTTCCTTACTGGCCCCATTCTTGTGTCCCCTGAGCACCAGCCAGGGCCCCCCGGTGTTCTCTGGGCTGGTGTTTTGGGCAGCTCTTCAGCGAGACGCCTCACTGTGCTCAGTGTGGTTCTGGGTCAGTTCCGAGTGGTCCCTGAGGCAGTTTCATTCCAGAGCACAGGCAAGGCCGAGGCTTTGGGGCTCAGGTGGAACATTCCAGAACACAGGGGCGGCAGAGCTGTGACCTGACCCATCTGGGAGTCTCACAGAAGTAGGACCACACAACAGGTGTCCTTCTGTGGTGGCTTATTTCACTCAGCGTGATGTCATCAAGGCCCGTCCCCGTGGTAGTGCATGGCGGCATTTCCTGCCTTCTGGAGGCCAGGTGACCGTGCCCGCATGGGCTGCGGTGTGCTTGTCTGTCCCCGCGCTGACCTTAGCCTCCTCTGCCTGCTGGCTGTGTGGCTGGCGCTGCCGTGAGCACAGGTGCCCGGGTCCGTCTGGGTCCTCCCTCCAGTCCAGCGTGTGTCCAAGCGGCAGGTTCTGAGTTACGTGGTGGTTCTGCATTTAGCTTCTGGAGGGACCGCCAGGCCTTTGTGTCCTCGAGTCGGGGGTGTCTCGCCGTCACCCTGCCTCGTTCTGTTTCTGTGACGGCCGCACGTGGGCACAGGGAGCCCAGCTCTTCAAGGAAGAACAGCGAGGATGTGGATGCATCTCACAACCACACGATCAGCACAAGGGGTGTTGTGGCGGGGCTGTCACGTGGGGCGTGGGGCACATGGAAGCACCCCCACCCCCTGCTGGTTCAGTTTCCCTTCCGAGAGAAGGTGGGACCTGGGCCAAGGAGAAAGGCATATGGCCTTTCTGGGCAGGGCCTTGTCTGGGGACAGGCTGGGGACAGGCTGATATGGAGCCTGTTGGGGTACTCGGATGCCCCATGGATACGCCACTTGTGCCCACGGCTTCCTCCAGCTCCGCTGGCCCACCCCGTGCCGTGGGAGCCCCAGGCCCTTGCAGGGTGGGCTCCCCTCGCAGAGGCAGCTCCGGCCGCCGCCCTCACAGCCTCTTCTGTCCCCACAGTGCGTCTGCACGACAGCATCTCCGAGGAGGGCTTCCACTACCTGGTCTTCGATCTGTAAGTGCTCAGCGCCAGGCCTGGGTGGGACCCGCAGCCCCCAGCCCCGGGCCCAGCCTCCCTCGCCTCCCCACTTGCCCAGCAGCATGCACAGTCCCACGGGCCGGGCCGCCACGCTGGGCCCTCTCCTCCAAACAGGGCACATTGGAGACAGGAGGGGAGGCCCAGGTTCCCAGCCTCCCATCCCCGCCTTCTCCTCGGCGTCCTCTCCGCAGCCGGGCTGGGGCACCGCATGTGTGTGAGGGCGTGTGGCTGTGGTTACGTGTGTGCACCTGTGCGTGGTGGTGAGTGTGCACATGCAGGTGTCAGGTAGGTGTGAATGGTTGCATGAACACGTGTGCGCATGTGCGTGTACCTGGGTGCATGTGTGGACTGTGACCTGTGGGGCGCATACGTGTGTGTCGTGTAGTTTATGTAGTATGTGGTTTGTGTGTGTGCGTGTGCGTGTGCAGGGGCTGAGTGGGGGGCATCTGGGGCCTCTGCCACCTCTCACTTCCTGCTGGATTTGGAAGGTGGTGATCTCACCCCTGCTCCCTGGCAGCTCCCCTGAGCGGTGCTATATTTAGCCGTCGGTGAGTCACTGCCGCTGGGGACACGGGGTGCTCAGGACGCAGGGCGGGCAGGGGCCATGGGCTGCCACAGGGCCGGGAAAGCCCCCTGGGTGCCGTCGCCACGGTGACGGGCCTGCGCGAGGAGGGCTTTGTCTCCTTTAGAGAACAGCTCCTCCAGCAAGGGGCACGGAGTCTGAGGGGCCCACTCAGGTTCCGTGGGCAAGAGAGGCTGAGACGTCCTGCGATGGTTCTGCCGCCTCTCAGTACCCGTGTGCCACAGGCGCCACATGGAGCCAGGCAGGTCGTGCCGGGCCGGGGCTGCGCTCTGAGACCTGCCCCACGGTCCCTCGAGGGGCCGGCGCCCTGCCCTGCCCCCAGGCCATCACTTCAGGTGGCCTTGTCCCGGGGCTTGTGGCTGATGGGTGGGTGGGTGTGTTCAGGAGCAGACGAGGGGGAGGGAGGTGTGTGTGCACGTGTGAACATGTAAATGTGCTGTGTAAGCACACGTGTGCACACCCTCAAGAGATTCTGGTCCCTCCTGGCCCACATGACGGGCAGACATGGGGAGAGGATCTGAGGGGGCACGAGGGGGAGAGGCCTGGGCCCTGCATACCCTCCCCAACCGTGTGGCCACCAGACCTGTGGTGTCCAGACCCTGCTGACGCCCGCGCCCAGGCCTCAGGCACCTGCTCCCGGGCGGGTGGGAGGACCTGGACAAGGGTCTGCTGAGTGAGGGGAGCCCTGCTGACACCCTGCCGGGCCCTCTGTGCCACTCGGCGGACCCTCCACGATGCGGAGACTCCAGGGTTTGGGAGCCGCTCTGGCCTGGGTGGGCATCATCTTCAGGAGGCCCCCAGGCCCCTTGGCAGTTTGGGGCTCTGTGGATTCAGGGGATGTCCCAGGGCCTTGGGGACCAGGCCTGGGAACAGAGCAAGGGACTCCCCTGTGGCCTGGGGCTGGGCCAGAGGAGGGAGGATGGAGAAGATGCCGGACTCTAGATCAGGCCTTTCCTGGCCTTGGAGAGATGCCAGACCATCTCCCCAGCAACCCCCCCAGCTGTGGCCACATGGCCCCAGTTGCTGTCAGACAGACTGGAGCCTCCCGTAGATGTAGAGACGCAGAGGGTCCCCACCTGGGCGAGGCCTCCAGGGCCCTGTTGTCCTGCTGCAGCCCTGGCTGGGACCTTGCGCCTTCTGCCCCCACCCTGTGCTTGGGCTCGGGGCACAGCCTGGCTGTGAGCTGTGCAGAGGAGCAACATGCCCACTCGGGTGGCTTCCTCCCGATTCAGACACACGCAGACATGCGCACAGACACGTGCACATGCACACACATGGGCACAGACGCGTGCACATGCACATGCACACACACAGACACACAGACGCGCGCACACGCTCACACAGACGCGCGCACGCACACACACGGGCACAGATGCGCGCACATGCACACACAGATGCGCGCGCACAGACGCGCACGCGCGCACAGATGCACACATGCACACGCACAGACACGCGGGCACAGACGTGTGCATACAGACGCTCACACAGACACTGGCACAGATGCACGCACATGCACACATACACAGACACACACACAGACGCACACACAGACACATGCACACACACACAGACATGCGCACGCACACACGCGCGCACAGACGCGCACATGCACACGCACAGACACACGGGCACAGACGTGTGCATACAGACGCTCACACAGACGCGCGCACATGCACACATACACAGACGCGCGCACAGACACACACACACACAGACGCGCGCACATGCACACATACACAGACGCGCACACAGACGCATGCACACACACACAGACGCGCACACAGACACACACACAGACGCACACATGCACACACACACAGACGCGCACACAGACACACACAGAGACGCGCACATGCACATATACACAGACGCACACACAGACGCGCACACAGACACATGCACACACACACACACAGATGCGCACACAGACACATGCACACACACACAGACATGCGCACACGCACAGGCACATGAAGTTCTGCCGCCCTGGGCTGTTTCCTGCTCTGAGCCTCAGCTTCATCCAGGAAAGGGGGCCTCGAGGCTCCTCACTCCCAGGCTGGGGGGATTCAGCAGGATGGGTGTCTAGCTGGGAAGGGGGGCACCCTAGACCCAACACACCCTCAGTTTGTTTTCCTCCAACACTGGGAGAGAGCCCGCCCGTGTGGGTCACGAGAGAGCCCGAGGACCACTCTGGGGTGGGGAGGCCCCGACAGACTCTCCTGGCGGATGCAAGAGGCCGGGTGGCCCCAGGGCGGCTCCTCCCTGCTTCCCTGTGCCTGTGTCCCTCAGCCCTGCTTCCCGCACCCTCTGTCCGCACCCACATTTCCCAGTCCAGGGGACCCTCGACAGCCTGGACCCTTTCTGGGTGCTCCTCCCTGGGGCCCGTCCTGACCGTAAGGACTGACCCAGCGAGAGGGTCTGTGCGCAGAGCCCCAGCTGCCCTCCGGGAGGGGGACTCTGACCTCGCGACCCCGCCCACCGAGGAGGCTGGCCCTCTGCTCTGTGCAGGCTCCTGGCTCCAGCCCTGCGGGGTTCGCGGAGGGGAACCAGATCTCAGGCCTGGAGTTAGAGTCCCAAGGCCCAGATCAAACTCCTGTGTGGCCCATTCTGGGCGTCACTGAGTCATTTCAACCCCGTTTTCTGAGCTGGAGTGTCATGGAGGGGTGAGGACAGAATGTAGATTCCACCGCATCTCCGCACTCAGTAAGCCTCAGCCCTGGGTGGCGATGGCACAGGTGCTGGTGGTGGAGACAGAAGTGTGGGCACCGGGCGGCGAGTCCCCAGAACTGACTCCTGTGTGCTCTCCTGCAGGGTCACTGGTGGGGAGCTCTTTGAGGACATCGTGGCGAGAGAGTACTACAGCGAGGCGGATGCCAGGTGGGTGTGCAGCCCTCGCACCCTGCTCCGGCCCTTCCCTCACTCAGCCCCACGCTGCCCCTGGCCCGCATGACCCTAACATGGGCAGGTGGTCGGCTGAGCAGGGGTGTCAGTCTGCCCGGCCTGGCAGAGCCCCCTGGGAGCTGACAGGTCAGAGGGCAGCTCTGTCCCGAGCAGGAGGTGTGACCCGATCCAGGAGGCCCCTGGCCTGCTGGTCCCCTGGTGGGAAGTGGCCACGGAGGGAGGCTGTCCTTGGCGTGTCTGGTGGCAGGCAGGGGCAGAGCAGGGTGGTCATGGGGTCCTCCTGCCCTCCCTGGGGTGTCAGTCCGTGGCCCCCCGCAGGTCCCCCTACGGCACGAGAGGCCTCTGCCTCTGGCTCTTCCACCTGGAATCGCCTTCCGGGATCTCCGGGGCAGGGACAGGAAGGCAGGTCCCCCTGCAGGGTGGAGGGGTGTGGGCTCTCTCCGAGTGGGGCCCCCATGGCTGCCGGGGGACAGCAGACCCCTCCCGGAAGGTGGGCACCAGGGCCTGCGGTGCCCGTGCTTGTGGGGCAGATGCACCCCGACCGGGAACTGTGCGTTCCCGACTGCTTCTCAGGGGAGACGCTGAGGACTGAGGACAGCACTCCCTGCCGCCGCCCTGGCTGGGGGGGGGGGGCACTGTGGCCCTCTGTCGGTGGTGGGGCTATGGGTGCTTTCCAGCTGTTTAATCTTCTTTGTCTATCTTTAAAACTTTTCTTTAATGACTATATTCCTTTTTTAATCAAGAAAAACGAATATTACTTTTTAATGTCGCTTTTTGTGACTTGCTTCTGCATGCACAGGCCACCTTGCCTGGGGTGACAGCCTGAGTCCCTGTGAGAAGGTGTGAGTGGGTCCTGGAACCCCCAGAGCCGTGCAGCTGGGGGGGAACCAGCGGGGGGGGGGCAGGCCCCGGAGGTGCAGGGGCTGATTTCCCAGGCTCCTCAGGAAGGACTCGCAGCTGGGAGTGGCCTGGCCCTTTCGAGAGGAGGAACGTTCCTACTTACGAGGACAGTAGCAAGGGCACAGGTCCTCCTCTGCCCTGGGCGGTGGGCACTTCCCAGCGTGGGTGCCTGCCAGGAGGCCGGGAACCCAGGCCCCGGAGAGGGTCCCACTGGCCACCCCGGAAGGGGTGCGTGGCCCAGGGCCGCAGCTGGACTGAACTGTCACTCGGAGGACAGCTGGGCCCTCGGGAGGCTGCTGCCTTCCCATCCTGCTTCCCTGCTGGACCAGCCCCGACTCCTGAGCCTCAGTGCTCACCACTGGGCACCGCCGGGGCCTGGTGCTTTTCCTGCACCGCATTTGGAGGTCCAGGGAGTGGGCACGGCCCATAGCCCTAGGCTCCTCTGGGCCCAGAGCCCCAGACCCTCTGGCCAGCTGCTCACGGGGCCTTCCCCAGAGCCCTGTGCTGTCTGCACCCCCGACCACGCCCCTGGCCACACCAGCACACCACGCCCACAATGACCAGTCCTGCACCCCACCTGTGCCCCGCCCACAATGACCAGGCCTGCACCCCACCCATGCCCCGCCCACAATGACCAGGCCTGCACCCCGCCCGTGCCCCGCCCACATTCTGACCACATCCCGCATCCAGCCCACCTCATGACCCCAAACTCCTGTGGCCTCAGAGCTTTGCCCAGGCCCCCTGCTCCTCCCTCCCAGGCTTCACCCCTTCACTCCGGGGCCCCCCCCGGCCTGCATCCTGCCTCTTGGGTGTAGGTCTCCACTGGCGTTTGGGGCCCCTTGGACCTGACCCAGAGGGGATGGGGCTCTGTGCTGGGCCCCTCCCATGACACCTGGTTTCCTCTCAGCAATGAGGAGGGTGACAAGGAGGAGGGACAGCCCTCTACCCGTCTTTGGTGCCTATTTCCTGGGGGTCCTGGACTCCCCTCCACCAAGCTCGAGACCTGCGTTTGACCACTGGGTCAGGAGGGAGTCCGGGGTCACCATGGGCATTGAGGGAGAAGCCCCTCCTGGGAGGGCTGCGTTTCCCCTGGGGACCCCCAGAGGGGGACTTGGGACCGTGCGGAAGCAGGAGCCCAGCCAGGCGGGGGGGGGGGGCACTCCCCTGGCCAGTAGCCCCTCAGCACCTGCCCTGGGCCTGCTGCTCAGTGCCCAGCATCTGGCGAGTGACCGTGTGGGTCCCAGGTGGGGTCCCCGGAGGACAGGAAGCCGGGGGGGGGGACTGCTTTTACAGACTCTCCAACTGAAGGCTGGAGAGTCCTCTGAAGAGGAAGCGGAGTCTTTACTCAGAGTTGGTGAGGACACTGAGGGGTCTTTCATCTAATCTGGAAAAGCTGCGAACACAGAAGCAGCACAGCCCTGGGATGCTGGCCGCCGGGGAGGAGCCTGTGCTGGGAGCAGACACCAGGGCCCGGCCAGCATCCGAGTGCGCTTGGGAACAGTTCTGACCACGAAAGCGACGTCCCGGATTGTTCAGAACGTGAGGAAACGGCCCGCGAGGAGGTCGGTGCACATAAACCGGAGGAAGGAGGCAACAGGGCCTCGCGGCTGCCGTCAGCGGTGGCCTCTGGTCTGCAGGCCACGGTCCAGCTTGGAGACCGGGGTGAGAGATGAGGGGCGCCCTGGAGCTGTCCCCGGAAGTGCCCGACGGTGCTGCGGGAACGCGCCGCTCTCCGGCCAGGCTGCAGAGGGCACCCCACTCTGGGGAGATGCCGTGAAGAGCCAGCCAGAGATGGGCTCTGCGCTGTCTGTCCGACTGTTCTGCTGGGGAACCCAATTCCCTTGTCCAGCTCTCCGTGAGCGTGGAGGGGGAAGCCAGGGACAGTGTGTGCGGCCTGCACGACTGGCCGTCAGGGTGGCCCTGACGCGTGGAGCAGGCCTGCAGGGCGGGTGTGCAGGACTGCGTGGCAGCGACGGCTCCGGAGGCTGCTTTCCCAGGAGGGGCTTTGGAGGAGAGCGGGGCCCTGCCCCCCGTCCAAGGCGGCCTCGCAGGTGGTGCTGTGGCAGGGAGGTCCATGGGTCCTGCATACACTCGGGGAACCTCCTGCAAGAAGGCAGATAGCACGACTGAGAGGACAGAGCAGCGTCCCTGCAGTTCCCACGGCCACAGCGGAGATGGGTGCTGCCCGGACCCACACGGAGGAGGGGCACCCCACTGCAGTGGGGACGATGGGGGTGCTTCGAGGACACCAGCACAGACCCCGGAGGGTGTGCCGGCAGACAAGGCCTCTGGGTGAAGATGAAGTGTGTGTGCCAGAGCCGGAGCCGGAGTTCACCGCTGTCAGGCGGGTCAGAGTTGAAGAGGTCACTGCAGGGCGTGGAGAGCGGCTGGAGGCACAGAAACGCCAGCCAGGCTGTGCAGGCCTCTGGTCACGGCAGGAAGGTCAGGGGCTCCGCAGGACAGCAGGGCTTGCAGCTGGACACGCAGACTGCCGGTTACCCTCGGGCGATTTCGGGCCACACGCGTGCAGGTCACACAGGCCCCGCGGGGGCGCTGCCTGCAGGGTCCCAGTGGCTGTGCTCCCTGCCTGAGCCTGGCTCTGGGAGCGAGGGCCCTGGGGCTGGGGAGGCCTGTGTTCCCTGCCCTGGGCCTTGAGCAGTGGCCTCAGCCTCCTTGGGAAGTACTGGGGGCTCTGCCTGGCCTTGGCCTCCTCCCAGCAGCCTGTCCTGACCTTGGGACCTTTTCAGACCTCATAGCTGCGCTCTGCCCACCCTGGACCAGCTGGCCAGCCCTTGGTGTGTCTGCAGTAACGGGCAGCGGGGTGGGGTTGCTGGCTGTGGGCTGGGGACACAAGGTCAGGACTGTTCAGCAGATGAGGGGTGGGGGAACCGGAGCCGGGAGGGGAGCCCAGGACTGGGGTCGGGGGACGGGGCCTGCTTCTGGGCCAGGGACTGTGGGGGGCTGTCTTCCCCAGAGGCCAGAGGCAGGCTTGGCTTCCTCTGACCCCACCACTTCAGCGATCCATCACGGCTGGGGTTCGGAGGTCTAGGCTCCACCGTGTCGGGGGGACCCAGGTCCACTCTTCCTTTCGGTGACTGGCAGTGTCCAGGTGTGGCCACAGCTTTCTGAGGGCCTGGTCCCCCACTCATTTGCATTCTCTGTCATTAGGAAACAAAGCCCACCCCCCAGCTGCGCCTCCATCACTCAGGGTGCAGCAGTGGCCGGAAGGCTCCTGGGGAGTCCGCCTGTCCCCCCTTGCCCATTCCGAGGGGCTAAGGGAGGCCCCAGGCCCCCTGTCTCCCATAGCAACTCCGCAGGGTGGCAGGGGACCTCAGGGGCCCAGTGCCTGGCTCTGGGGCCATTGGAACCCAGACACGTGGGGAGGCCACAGGGCGTCCTGTGTGCAGGGCAGGGGTGTGTGTCCCAGTCTCCTGGACGAGTGACTGGGGGCTGCAGCATCAACACTGCCACACCTGGGCACCCGCCCACCCTCCTCTGCCCTTTCCCTGCCTGGGTTCCCCCAGACTGCCTTGCAGGGTGTGGGCTCCACCCTGGCCTCTCTCCCCGGAGGGCCTGGCTCAGGGTCAGGCTTGGCTAGCGTGAGGCTGGGCAGGGGCCCCAGGGAGCCGGGCTGTTTCCTCTGAGTGTCACTAGGTGGGCCTGGCAAAGGGGAGGGGTGGGGGAGGGGCTTGGCACAGGGGCCTGGCCGTGCCTGAGCTTACCTGGGGGTGAGGGAACACCCCAGAGGCCCCTCCTGGCCAGAGTTTCTGCTCCCATGTGGTAGACAGCATCTTGATTCCCTGTCTCCCGATGGCCCTGCCAGACTGGGGCCTCACCCCAATGTCACAGCCCCCCACAGGCCACCGCACTAACACTCGCGCTGTCTGCCGCAGCCACTGCATCCAGCAGATCCTGGAGGCTGTTCTCCACTGCCACCAGATGGGGGTCGTGCACAGGGACCTCAAGGTGAGTCCCGCTTCGCTCTGGCCAGTGGTCTGCGGTCTACCTGCATGTCCTGTGCAAGGGGCCTGCGGCACTGTGAGCACCAGCCGCTGTGTGCATGGGACATGCCTGTGCACGCATGCATGAAGGGGTGTGTGTGACTGCGTGTGTGTGCGTGAAGGGGCGTGTGTGACTGCATGTGCATGCATGAAGGGGGCGTGTGTGACTGCGTGTGTGCATGGGGGTGTCTGCACTCAGCCTGCACACACCTTCAGGCTCCAAGGCTGAGGGGACAGTTGTCAGAAATCAGATTGTGAGCACATGTCCCTTGGGTCTCACTTCCTGGGCCCTGGGTGTGATGCAGACCCGGCAGGTGGGACACAGGTGATGTGCACGCAGGTAGGGTGATGCCACAGCAGCAGAGGGTGAGGGCCGGCCTCCAGGGTCTCTGCCACTCCCAGCCTCCCCCAGTCTCTGTGGCCTCAGGTCAGCCCTGGGCAAAGTGCTACAGACCACTCGAAAGGTTCATCACTCCCAGGACACAGGATGGTAGGAAGGCCCACTCCCTCTCTCCTTCCCCCCTTCCTTCCTGCCCCCCTCACCCCCCTCCTCTCTGTGACCCCAGCCCTCCCCACGCGGGCTGGGTCAGTTTCCTGTCGGGTGGGAGAGCCCTGGGCTGTCCTTCCTGCTGAGAGACCCCCTGTGGCTGTTGACACAACCATCCTTGTGCTGGCACTAAAGGGGGCCACACCTGCTTGGACCACGGAGGTGTGAGTGTGAGAGCTGATCCTGTGGGTGCTCTGGGGACAGACACTCCCCAGAGCCCTCCGCGCGGCCCTGTTCTCTGTGCGTGTCCGCGCGGCCCTGTTCTCTGTGCGTGTCCGCGCGGCCCTGTTCTCTGTGCGTGTCCGCGCGGCCCTGTTCTCTGTGCATGTCCACATGGCCCTGTCCCCGTGGTCTGCCTTCTGCACCTGCCCCACTCTGTCGCTGTGTCTTGTCTGAATGGTCCAGGGGCCTCTGAGAGGAGTCCCCACCTCATTCCTGGGCCCCTCAAGTTGTAGCTGGTTTGGAGGCCAAGGCAGAGCAGAGGAGCACCCAGCCCACGTGACCTGGGGCAAGCAGAGTCCTTGCTGAAAACAGGAGGTGGGCAGGGTCTCCTGCCAGGTGTGGGGAAGCAGCCGGTCCTAGCTCTGGAGAGAGCCCCGTCCTGGCTGGGTGCCCAGGAGCAGTGGGGGGTCAGCTCTGGCCGAAGCAGGACTGTGGGGACCACAGAGAGGTTGTCACCACTGGGGCTGCAGGGGGCCAGGGAGGCAGGTGCCGTGGCCCAGGGGGGAGGGAGTACTCACTCTTCTTTCCAGGGCTGGGGTAGGGCCCAGCCTCACCTGCAGCCCGGCCCTGTTCCAGACTTCTTGACGTGGTGCCCGGGAGGTTGGGTCCCCCTTTCCAGCACGCGGGCTGTGGGGGCGAGCACACGTGACCTTCAGGCACCGTGACACCTGAGGGTTACACGCAGTGTTTGCAAAGTTTGGCCGTGGTGCTGGGCATTCTCGGCGGCACTGGAGTGTGTGGCTGTGAGGATGCCCACACCTGTAAGGAGTTTGTAAAAGTCTCTGAGCCAAACTGAGGATGTGGCCAGGGACAGATCTCCAACGCTCCGGAGAACAGCAGCCTCACCGCCATCTGAGAGTTGAGGGGACCGTGGGGAACGGCACTCGGAGCTGGGGACTGGACTGCAGGGCTGTTAACAGCATTACGTGCCCTTGCGGGGTGCTACCTGTTCCGAGGGGTGTCGTCCTAGTGCACAGACCCAAGGCAGGGCTTGCTCGAGCCCAGATGAGCCTTTCCCTGCAGTCACAGGCGGGGGGCAGGACAACCACCCCGACCTGCCCAGTTAGGATTTTATGGTTGGATCACCTGGTGGAGCTACTTGCCATAGAACCCCTTCGATCACCCCCAAAGGCAGTGTGTTCTCAGTGGGCTCCCCTGTGTGGAGGGAGCCCCTGGCGGTCAGGAGTGACCGCTGGAGGTGGTTCGACAGGCTGGGACGGGAGGGACACGTGCAGGACACAGCACACGGGCCCGGTGGAGCTGTTGGGGCCGAGTGTCCATCCGAGGGCAGCAGCCTCCTCGGAGCTGCAGACAGGGTGCCGGTGTCCTCCGCCTTCAGAAGGTGCTGACCCTGGGCGGGTGGGCAGATGTCCTGCGTGGCCTAGGCTTCCGGGCCCTTGGTCGGCCCTCCTGGCCCGGGGGGCACCGCCCCCGGGGAACCTCCCACCTGTCTGAGCAGCAGACGTGGGGCAGGAGGAAAGCCCGGCCGGGCCGCCGGGCTCAGGGGCACTCGGGCCGGATCCAGTGTCCGGTTCCTCGTCTTGGGTCTGAGGGATCCCAGTGGCACTTTGAGAACACCCCTCCCCCACTGTGAGGCTCCTGTCCCTGCCCTCAGGGGCAGACTGTGGGGTGCAGGCCCAGGGGCCCGCAGATGTCAGCATTGCTGGGGAGATGCGCACACGGCAGGGTCAGGCCTGCACGCCCACCAGCAGGTCACTGTCATCTGTCTTGTCTCCCCCTCCCCGGGACCCCCCGGTAAACCACACGGCTCCCCTGCAGCCTGAGAACCTGCTCCTGGCCAGCAAGTGCAAGGGAGCTGCGGTGAAGCTGGCGGACTTCGGCCTGGCTATCGAGGTGCAGGGGGACCAGCAGGCGTGGTTCGGTGAGCGCCCAGACGGTGGAGGGGGCAGGGACGGGTCAGCTGCCCCCCGGCCCTCACACCACCCTTCTCTTGCTAGGGTTTGCTGGCACGCCGGGCTACCTGTCCCCGGAGGTCCTGCGCAAGGAGGCGTACGGCAAGCCAGTGGACATCTGGGCGTGCGGTGAGGCCAGAGCAGGGCAGGTGGGATCTGGGTGGTGGGAGTGTGCACGGCTGTCCCAGCCAGGAGCCCCTGCCCCAGAGGACACCTGTGACCTGGCTGTCGCTGAGCTGTGGTCTCTGGGCCAGCTGCACTCGGCCGCGGGGGCTGGGGCAGTGCAGGCGCCCTGCTAAGTAGGGAGGGGTGGGGCAGAGTCTGCCAGCGTGAGGGTCTCCAAATAATGACATTTGCTGACATCGGCTGCTGAGGGGTGGGGCTTAAGGACCCCAGTGCATCGTGGGGCTCACTGGCTTCAGGCTGAGGTCCCACAGCTGTTCAGCCAGGCGTCTGACTCCTGGCCATACCCACCGCTGACACTGGGCTCTGGGTGGGGTGCAGGGCCTGAGCCTGTCCTCGCTCCCCAGGGGTGATCCTGTACATCCTGCTGGTGGGCTACCCCCCCTTCTGGGACGAGGACCAGCACAAGCTGTACCAGCAGATCAAGGCCGGCGCCTATGACGTGAGTGTCCGGTCCTGCCGGTGCAGTCGGGCCCCTGTGAGAGTGCAGGCTCCCTGAGAGCGTCTCCTCTTCCAGTTCCCGTCCCCCGAGTGGGACACGGTGACCCCTGAAGCCAAAAACCTCATCAACCAGATGCTGACCATCAACCCCGCCAAACGCATCACTGCACACGAGGCGCTGAAGCACCCATGGGTCTGCGTAAGTGGCCTGGGCGTCGGGCTGCCCGGGGCGGGTTGGCCGCGGCCCTCTGCTGGCGCCGCGCAGCCGCCCTGAGCCCTCCCGGCCTCTCCCCGCAGCAACGGTCCACGGTGGCGTCCCTGATGCACAGGCAGGAGACAGTGGAGTGCCTGAGGAAGTTCAACGCCCGCCGGAAGCTCAAGGTGCGGCCCGGCTGGTCACGTCCCCATGTGGGCTCTGTGGGCTCGGGGAGGCTGCGGGGTCCTGGCCATTTGGGACAGGCTGCAGTCGGCACAGCTCACCTGTCAGGTGGACTCAGGGCCTCCATGGCAGCGACACCAAGGTGCCCAGAGGTCGGCCGGCCTCCGGGCGCACAGCCGGCGCCTCAGCCTCTCGCACCAGGGCCCTCTGCTCGGCTCCCCAGGGTGAGGGAGCTCCCTGCCCAGGCCAGAGCCTGGGTGGTGGGGGCAGGGGAGTGGCCACAGCCTGCCCTCCCTGGGGACCGCTGCGTGCAGGCGGGTGCCCCGCAGAGCCCGGCGTGTGGATATGCCTGTCGGGGGGAGCAGACCCCAGGTGACCCCAGGGCCTTGGAGCAACGTTAGACTGTGGTCAGTGGGCAGTTTAGGGCCAGGGTGCCTCAGTCTCAATTTGGGGAGTGAACGGCCTTCGGGAGGTAGCTGGCGGGTCCTGAGGCGCGGCCGGGGCCCTGGCCAGCAGACGGCCCTGACCCTGCTTGGCCTCTCCCCAGGGCGCCATCCTCACCACCATGCTGGCCACCCGGAACTTCTCAGGTGAGAACAGCCTTCTCCAGGGAGGCTCAGAATGACCCACCACCAGCCACCTGCCCTTCTCCCCGACCCCTCCACTGCCCTTGGCGAGCCTCCCAGGCAGCACTGCAGGTCCGCCCCCCTGTCCTGCTCCAGGAGGCCACCCAGCACACGTCCCACCCCTGCGCTTTGGGTCTCTGTGTCCCTGCCTGACACCCCAGCTCCGTGTGTCTGTCCAGGCGTAGGTCGGCACCTCTGTGGCCTGTCGTTGTCCTGAAACTTCTGAGCACCGTCTTGTGTGTGGGAGGTGAGAGGAGGGTCCTGGGCCTCTGCTGCGCTCTGGACGTGCCCGGGGCACCGAAGGCGGGCAGGGCTGGGGGCATGTGGCCGATGGGGGGGTCTAGGGCCCCGAGGCCCACTGGGGACAGCGTCCCCCTAGTGGGGCCGGCCGCCCACTCCCTGTCCTGTGGCTTGTGTGTGCGGGAGTCCGTGGTCTGTCCGCACTGTCTGTCGTTCCTGCACCCTCCTGCCGCTTGCCGTGGAGCTGGGTGCGGAGGGCGCCGGCCCGGAGGGGCGCACTCCGTCGCCTCGAGGGCCGTGGGGTCTAGGAGGAGAAGGAGGCAGATGCCTCCGAATGTGCGTGGCCTCCACCCTGTTCCCGTCCTCCCGTGAGGGTCTGGAGCCGCCGTCTCCTAAGCCTGGACTCTAATCTCCTTCTGCTTCCTTTGTCTCTTCTCTTCCCTCACCTCGCCCGCCCCGTCTGTGTCCGCCCTCCCCTCGTCTCTAACCCGGTGCTCACAGTGGGCAGACAGACCACCGCTCCAGCCACAATGTCCACCGCGGCCTCCGGCACCACCATGGGGCTGGTGGAACAAGGTAGATGCTTTGGACCCGTGTCCTGCAGGCGGCATGTGGCTCCCCAGCTGCAGGCGGCCGCCCAGAGGCCCTGGGAGCCCAGCTCCCGCCTGGACATGGCCCAGAGCCCCGCCGCCTGAGGCCCCGCCTGTCAAAGGAGGGACTGGCTAGGTGACCCCTGAGCTGTGCCCACGTGCATTTGACTGAACCCCCGGCCCTGGCTGCTGAATCTGGGGTCAGAAGACCCCTTTGGTCCCAGCTCCGCATCTGAAGCTCCATCCCACTGTCCCGTCCTCGTTCAGAGTGACCATGAGCACCACAGGAGACTCGGGTGCGGCTGGGAGGCCGTCCTGACGGGGTGCTCAGGGGAAGGCGCAGAGGCAGAGACCCTGTCCCTGCCAGCCTGCCGGCCACCCAGCCCACCCTGGCCCGACCTGCACCCCTGCCCACCCCCAGCCCCGTACTGGCTCCCAGCTGCTCCCACGTAGCCGGGGTCTGTGTTGAGCCTCATCCGTGCACATCGCCCTGTGAGCCCCAGGGGGTCTTCCGCCCCCCGAGAGTGACTTTGAAGGCCATCTTGGTTCTTTCTACAAGGACCCCCACCCCTCGTCCCAAACCCACCAGGGGAGACAGTGGTTCTGCCGATCTGTTCCCAGGAGGCCCAGGTCAGCTCCCGCCCACCTGTGACCTCGGCCGGACCCTGTGAGGGCGGTCAGATCTCAAGTCCTCCTCAGAAGCCTGCAGCCCCCGTCCTCGCTGAGGGTGGTCCCAGCTCAGGGCAGGCTTGGGGGCCTCAGCTGCAGGCTGACCCTGCTGCTCCCAGGGCCTGGGGCCAAGGCAGACCCCCTGCTCCTCCCAGGCCCAGGCCCCCTTTCCTGCACGCCCACCCCGCTCGGGCTCCCGGCCCCCAGACGGGTCAGCTCCACCTGCCCCCCGAGGACCCGACGTTACCACTGCCTCCTTCCAGGGCACGAGGGCAACCAAGCCTTGGGGAGGAGGGTGGGCCCCAGAGAGCTGTCCTGAGTCCCTTCCCTGCGCCATTCTCCGGTCTTTCTGAAGCGGCTGAGCGAGGGGCAGGGGGCCGGGAACGGGCCAGAGGCTCCTGGGGAAGCCCTGCCGTCCAGCACTGGGTGAAGCGGGCATGAGCTGCTCCCTGCCGGCTCCACCCCGCCTGCCTGCATGAGGCCGCCCGCATGTGTGGCTCCGTCCCCGGGGCCGGGGGCCGGGTGCCCAGGGCACCTGTGGGGGTGCCGTGCATGTGGATGGAGCCCAGCATGGCTGTCCCTGGGTGACCAGCTACCGGAAGGGCAGAGACTGGCCCTGTGGGCTAAGGGACCTCCCCTGCCAGGTCGGCCCACCTCCGTGGCCACACCAAATCCAGCAGGTGCGGTTGAAGGGCAGGGGTGTCTCAGTCCGGAGGCCCTCACTTCTCTGTGGGTCACATGCACCCTGGGCCGGGGGAAGACGGGGTGTCTGTAGAGATGTTTCTGCTCATCACAGCTCTGGACATGGTCCCATGCCGCCTTCACCAAGAGGGACTGGGCTGGCCGTGGGGCCCGACAGCCTGGCCTGAGGACCCACGGGGACGGGGGGCAGCAGGTCTGTGCTGCTCCCCCAGGGCCCGGGAGGGGTGGGCCTGCCCGTCCCCCTTGGCTGCTGCCGGGGGGTGATGCGCTGGACGTGAGAAAGCTCAGCGAGCCACGCCTTTGCCTGCTGGTGTGGACGGGACTGAGCAGGTCCAGTGACCGCAGGACAGTCCAGAGCGTCCAGGGAACAAGCGCCCAGAGTGGCGCAGCCGGGCACAGGCTGGCCGGAGGGCGCTGAGGGGAAGGGAAGGCGCTGGCTGTCCGCGTCCCCAGAGGGCGCCGGTCTGGGGTAGCGTGGTCAGGAATGCAGGTTCCATAGAATCAGGGACTGAGCGGGACCCTCTTAGGACCTCGGAGTGTCCCAGGTTCTTCATCTGCCTCTGCCTGGGGCCTGACCCAGGGGCCCAGTTCCCACCCAAAGGGAAGACTGGGCAGAGCCAACCCCGTCTGCCGAGACCAGCCAGGCCTGCTCTGCTCTCACTCGGAGCCCCTGGCCAGGCCGCGTCCCTGCCTGTCGTACCCCGGAGAGTCGGGCAGCTTGCTCAGCTCCCAGCGCAAATGCCTCCAGATGGGCTGGGCGCCTCCTCCAGGCCCAGCTGTGTCCGGGCAGTGAGTCAGCTGGCACCGAGAGGGGTCCCTGGTCTCCACCAACTCAGATGCCTCCCGCTTGGAGGGAGCTCCTCCTGTCCCAGGAGCCCGGCCGAGGCTGGGAGACAGGCTGGGCCTGCAGAGCTGCTCCAGCTCCATGGCCGAGGGACAGGGAGGCAGGTTGTAGCTGCCACCAGGGAGGTTTTATGTGACCCCAGGAATTTCTGGTCCTGGGGTGCCTTGGCGGGCAGGTCTCTATCGGGGTCCTGAGTCCAGCTGCCCAGGCCTTGCCCGTGGAGAGTCTAGGGGACCAGGAAAGTCTTGTCCTTGCTGGGATCCAGCAACTCTTCCCAGAGGAAGCCAAACAGAATCGGGCTGCTGGTAGGCTGCCCTGTGGGTCCTGGAGGGGAGTTCCTGAGGGCTGACAGGCCCCTGCGGAGACAGGGAGCCTGCTTGGATGGCCCCGCAGGGCCTCTGGCCTGGTGCAGCCGCGTGTCCCCACTCGGAGCCCGAGGCAGTGAGGTCCTGGACCCAGAGGACGTGGTCAGCAGGCAGCCCGACAGCCCTGGCCCTGGCCTGCTCACTGCACCGTGGTCAGGACCCTCAAGGGCTTGTGGACCAGTGGCCTAGCCCACCCCCAGTTTCTGTGGGAGCGTTGTGTCCTGGTGATGCTATGCTGCTGGCAAGGGAACCTCCCTGGGTCCTGTGCCCATCTGTCTGCTGTGCCAGCCGGGGCAGTGGTCTCTAGGGCTGCTCCCCGGCCCTCTGTGGCCACCCTGTCCCTGTGAGGGCTGGTCAGCCAGAGACTTTGGAATTAGCCCAGGGCCCAGGACAAGGGCCCCTCCGCTGCTTCTCTAACCTGCACCTGCCAGCTGCGCTGGGCACTGCTTGGCCGGCGGTGGGCAGGGGCAGGGGGCGCTGTGGGCCCTGGGTGCAGGCTTGCTCTCTGCCTGAACTGACACAGACCTTGTTTTCTCTCTCCCCTCCTCTCGCCCTCCCCTCCCCTCCCCACCTTTTTGTAAGGTAAGCTGACTTCCTTTGTTTTGCAGTTCTGTAGTGAAAACGAACCTCTGTGGAGGGCACAGGTGCTGGGGGCCCAGGGACGTGGGGTGTGGCAGGCAGGCTGAGCAGGGAGCAGGCCGGCCACCCCGACCTCTGCCGGGGGCTGGGGCCTGGTCGTTGGAAGGGTGGTGGCGGCCTGGCCCTCCGACCCTCCCCCCTGACCCTCCCCCATGCGTGCCATCCTGCTAACCCCACTCGAGCCCAGGATCATGGGTGGGTGGGCACAGAGGCTGGCATTGCCCCAGCCAGCTCCAGAGCAAGGCCAGGAAGTGGCCCCAAGGGGAGAGGCACCTCTCGGGGTCTGGCCGTGAGCAGAGCTCTGAGTCCGAGGGTGGGCACTTGGGTTGGGACAAGCCCCACCTTGTGAGTAGCCAGTTGCAAACCACCCACCTCTGCCAAGAACATGCAAAGTTATGAGGGCTGCCCACCACCCAACCTGGTGCCCATCGCGTGTTCTCATCTGGGGGTGCCCACCTCCTTCCTCCTCACAGAGACTGCCTGCCCCCCGGAAGCCAAGGGTCCCAAGTGGGAGGAGAGATCCTGGTGTCTTCCAGGAGAAGGGCCTATCCTGGGGACGAGGGGCTCCTCCAGGACCCACAGATAGCCACCCCCTCACTCACTCTTGGGGAGCCCAGTGCCTTAGGGGCCCCCAAGGTCACTGCACGCCAGGGGAGGGGCTGCGGCAGGTGGCCCCTCTCTCATGGTGCCTGTTCCCTCCCGATGCAGCAGCCAAGAGCATGCTCAACAAGAAAGCAGACGGCGTGAAGGTGAGGCCCTGTGCCCAGGCCCCGCAGGGCAGACCGGGGAGGGGTGACCCTCATCCTCCCCCTAATGCTGCTCTCTGTCTCCCTCTGCAGCCTCAGACGAATAGCACCAAGAATAGTGCTGCTGTCACCAGCCCCAAGGGAACGCTTCCTCCGGCTGCCCTGGTACTGAGCCCCGCAGCTCCCCTTCCTAGCCCTCCTGCACCCCGGCTTTGTGGTGGCCACCTGTCAGGAGGCTGGGGTGACAGCAGGGTCCAGCTCCCAGCCTGTCTCTGATGGAGACAGGCACTTGGCCCCTCCAGTCCCTGCTGCCCCCTGGGTGTGGGGTAAGGGCTGACCCCACTGAGGCTCTTAAGCCCCTGTCAGCCGCCTGCCTCCCTGACTGCTGTGTCCGAGGTGAGGGGCCTTCAGGGGACCGGTGAGGCCAAGACACAGGCCCGGCCAGGCTCTGCGGAGGGGCCATGGCAGAGGGCCTCCTGCCCCACCCCCTGCGTGCTGCACAGATGCGCTGTGGGGCCCCTCCCGTGAGAGGTGTGGGCTGGTCTCAGCTTCTGCGCCCACCCTGGGATCTAGAGGAAGCAGAAACCTCTCGGTGGTTTCCCACCAAAGTCACAGCCTGCACGCCTGAGGCGGGCTTGGGACACACACCTGCGTGGCCGTGGCTGCCCAGAGGAAGGGGGACGGGCAGACACAAAAGAGGGACCCTGGGTCTGGGCCTCCCCGGGGTCCTGTCCAGGGAGCCCCACGGCTGGTGGTCAGGGCTGCGGCCACCTGGAGGTTGGGGTGTGCTGGTCCACAGGTTCTCAGTGACGCCCTGGCCCGGCTTCCAGGAGCCCACCTGCCGTCCCGGGAAGGCAGTGTCGGGGGCCTGGGCCCCGGGGACACGAGACCCTCACAGCCAGCCCGTCTTGGACCATCCATCCCATGTGCCACCGCATCTCCATGCCATCGCCCACTGGGCTCCCCGCGCCTGCCCTCCGGCGGCCTGGGCCACGGCGGCTTCTCACCTGCGCCCTGGGCCCTGGCCTCCTCATGGCCGGGCGTCTCGCCCGCTCCATCCGCTGGCCTGTCCCAGGGCCTCTCGCCGCTGCTCCCCGCCGGGCGTCCGCTGCTGTCCCTCCTCTTCCTGCTGGCCACTGTCCCTCTTCTCACCTTCCTCCTTCCTTCCCTGTGCTTCCTTCTGTAGGAGCCTCAAACCACCGTCATTCATAACCCTGTGGACGGGATCAAGGTATCGCACCGCCCTCGCCCTCTGCGGAGCTTCTGTGGGGGCAGGAGGCAGACCCCTGGCCCCAGGGAAGGTCTGGGCATTGACCATGTGGGGGCAGGTGTCCCGCAACCCCTTCCAGGGCAGGGCGGAGCCCCCGAGCCCGCAGGCTGCTCCTGCCTGGAAGGCCTCAGGCCCTGCCCGTGGAGGCACCCAGCCCACTGGGGTCACAGGGCCAGGGCCCCCGGGTTTCAGAGCAGAGGCCACTCCTCAGGACCCTCCTGGCTGCTGTTGGCCCTGTCCACTCTGCCCTGGCGGAGACCAGGCCCAGCACACCAGGAGCAGCTGAGTGCAGGGCCCTGTCCCGAGGGTCCCAGGGAGAAGGGTCCGGGAGCCGCAGCACAGACCTGTGACCTTCCCATCCTCACCTCTGCTGCCCAGTGCTGCTTGCTGAGCTGACCTCTCTCTGCTCCTCTCTGCTCTGCATCTCTTTCATCCTGCACATCTCTCTGGGGCCAGGGAAGGGCTGGCCCTCTGGGGTGGATGATGGGCTGGGCAGGTGGCCCAGCTATTTCTAGGACCAGCACCCCCTACTCGAATCCAGGCCTGCAGCTGGACTCACCCTGGCCATGGGCTCCTCAGAGGGCCTCCACACCCCGGGCCGTGGACTGGGACCAGGGGATTGTGGCCACTGCCTCTTGGCTGCCCCAGACTCAAGTTCTGTGAAGGGCCTGGGCACACAGCCCCTCCCTGACAGCCAGGAGGGTTCCCTGGACCCCGTGTCTGGGGTGAGGCTCCCGTTTTTCCTGCAAGCAGCCTCTAGACAACCGTCTGGGCTGCGGTGTGAGTCCTGATCCCACAACACACCCCTTTCCTGGCCCACGGCCCAGAGCAGTGTGTCCTGTCAAGGGGCTGGAGGGTTCTGAGGAGCAGGTAGGCTTCCTGGGAGCTTGGTGACAGGTGGATGGCACCCAGTTTTATCCGGAGGGCAGCCATGAGTGGGTGGGAGGCGCTGGGCTGTGTCTGGCTGCTCCGAGGTCACTGGGGCGGTGGGGCAGGCCTGGCTCGATGGCGCAGGCCAGGGAGGGCGAGCCACCTTCCAGGGCAGAGGTGTGGGTGCTGCCTGGGCCACTGAGGATCTGAGCGCCTGCAGGAGGCTTCCTGCCCGTCGGTGGGTGCCTCTCGTCATCGCCAGGAGCCTTGGCATTTCGTAAAGCCTGGTCCTCTGCTGTCAGGGAGTCGTCTGAGCAAATCTCCCCACGAGCCCATTTTGTTGGCCGTGGGGACCTGGGCAGCTGGACCTGGGGCCATACTCCAGCTGCCTGTGGGTCTTAGGCTGGGGTCCTGCAAGGGCACCTCCCAAGCCCCCTGATCACCAGGCCCGGTGGGGCGGGCTGGAGCAGTCATTCTGACCCACTGCCTCCCTGTGTCTCCCCAGGAGTCATCCGACAGCACCCACACCACCATAGAGGATGAGGACACGAAAGGTACTGTGTGCCCCTCACAGCAGGGCTGCATTGGTGGGCAGGGTTTCGTCAGGGTCTGTGACTCCGTGTCGCTGGACTTGGCCATGCTCCGTGGCAGCAATTCTCCCCCAGCCTGCGGCCAGGGCGTCCTGACCAGCGAGGAAGCTACTGCCCTTCACCCTGACCACCGGTCCACCCACTCACCCCAGGGTCCCGGTGCCCAGTTCCCACAGGAGCAATGAGTTCATGGTTGAATTTGCTCAATTTCTTCTCTTAAAGCTCCTTAAAGTTGTGACTGGCAGTTGGGTGGACGGGCAGCCAGGGGCCTCTCCTGGGTTCTCTGCGGTTCCCTGGCCTCCATGTGGGGGTGCAGGGACCCGGTGCCCATGTCCCCAGCCCAGGCTGCTCCCAGGTGGGGCTCTCAGACCCTCTGGTCACACAGTAGCACCCTCAAGGCTGCCCAGGGCACCACCGCTGGCCAGTCTGCAGTTTGGGGGCAAAGGCCAGGCCACCCTACACAGCAGCTGTCCTGAGCAGCCACCCCCCTCAGAGCAGAGACGAGCACAAGACTGACCAGGGAGACCAGACGTTTGCGTGGTTTCCTCAGACTGAGACAGGCTGGAGCCATCAACATGGAGGCCGCCAACCTGCCCTGCCTCTTGGGGGCTGCAGATCCAAGCCTGCGGGAGGGTGGGGAAGAGGACCAGCCTGGCCAGCTTCTTCCCAGAGCTGACCCTGAGCCCTGTCTGGCTGGGAGAGGGTGGGAGACGGCCGACTGGCCTGTGCGGCTGGGCCAGCTCTGTGGCTGAAGGCCTCATGCGCAGAGAAGCCCCAGTGAGCACACAGTTCCCACCCGCGGGTCCTGCGTCAGCCTCTCACACCTGCTGTGATTGGCGCACGGGGTGATGCTGTCCCCAGGAGCCTCCAGACCCCACCGGGTGGTCTTGGGGCAGCCAAGAGCTGTGTCAGTGGTCTGGGGGTTCTCCAGTTTAACCCCCACCTTGTCTTTCTCCTGCCCCCTCTTCTGTGCTCCCCCTGCCTGCCTCCTGTTCACATCTTGTCTGTCTACCCAGCTCCCAGGGTCTCTGACATCCTGAGCTCGGTGAGGAGGGGCTCTGGGGCCCATGAGGCCGAGGGCCCCCTGTCCTGCCCATCTCCAGCTCCCATTAGCCCCCTGCCTGCCCCATGTAAGTAGCTGGGCCCCTGCCGTTGCGGGGTCTCTTTGAGGGGCCTGCAGCCCTCTCTGAGGGGATCCTCGAGAGCCAAGGGCGGCTGAGCCTTCCCCACCTGTGGGTCGGCTCCACGGGCCCAGGACTCACTTCGGTCTCTGGGGACTTCTTGCTCCGAAGACAGGCCCAGGGGCGGGAGACGGCAGCCTCCCTGTCCCCTCCTCACATGTCTACCCCCATCTGCCCAGCCCCCAGGATCTCTGACATCCTGAGCTCCGGCAGGAGGGGCTCGGGGACCATGGAAGCCGAGGGCCCTCTGCCCTCCCTGAGTAAGTAGCTGGGCTCCTGCCAGGCACGGCCAGGTGTCGGGGCAGGGCCAGCCATACTAACGCTGCAGCTCTGCTTCCCCTTGGCCCCCTCCCCCTCACATGCATGCTGCTGTCCAGCCCCAGGCCCAGGCAGCCTCAGAGCCATTGGCCTGTCCCTCCGGCCCCCCTCAGGCCATCTGCTGTGACCTGTGCAGTCACACTGACTCCATGTGCGCCCACACCTGAGCTCCTGACAGTGCTGACGGAGCCCGTGGACAAGGAGCTGTTTCCAAAACCCATCTGACCACAGGCCTGTGGGCTTAAAGGAGCAGAACGGCCTGGCCTTCCTGCCCAGCACGCTGTCCACCCTGGGCTGACAGGTCCTCTCACATCCTTCACGCTCTGCCCCCTGCCACACGCTCTGCCCTGCTGGGCCAGGTGCCCCTCCTTGTTCAGAGCAGCTTTCTACCCCCCATGCCCCCCATGTCCCCGTGACCCTCTCTGTCGACCCATGACTCCTAATATCCCCATGTTTCCTCCATGACCCCTTCTGTCCCCCACGACCCCTCCATCACTGCATGACCCCCACACCCCCTTTCCTCCTCTTCCCCCCATAACCCTCTCTGTCTCCCCAAATCCCTTTGTGACTGTCTGCGCACCACCCACCTGCTTGGCTGTCAGCCCAGAGGCCTCTCCTCTGCTGCGCCCCCACCTCGTGTTCACATCTGTTCTGTTCCACCCCAGCCCCCAGGATCTCTGACATTCTGAACACAGTGAGGAGGGGTTCGGGGACCCCAGAAGCCCAGGGCCCCCCACCCTGCCTGTCTCCAGCTCTCCCAGGCCCCCCACCCACCCTGTGTAAGTAACACCTCAAGTGGCCCTGCTGCTACCCCAGGGGCCCTCGGTGCTGTCCCGCTCCGGGAAGGCGGTGGCCGGGGCCACGGAAAGGGGCACAGGGTTCCACACGAGGCGTCTTGGCCTCAGAAAACAGTTCGTGGCTGAGTACATGGGCGTGAGCACCTGTGTATCAGAAGAGAACCTGAGCGTGGCTTCAGGGCAGACAGGGCCGAGCCTCCCCTGACCTGCAGGCTCTCTGTAGGACAGCACTGTGCGGAAGCCAGAAGGACCCAGCCGGTCAGGGCTCCACTGGGGTCGTGGCCACTGTCAGTCTGGCTGGGGTCTAAGGCGGAAGGTGGCTCAGGGTGGGGTGCTCTGCAGCAAGGAGAGGTCTGAACTCTGCTCGGAGAGGCTAAAAGGAGGTGGCAGCAGAGTTCTCTCTGGGCTGGGACCGCCCCCCCCCCTCCAGGCAGGGAGGAGCCGAGCTGCTCCAGCCGTCTGCCGACTGCCCGCCAGTATCGCTTACAGGGATGGATGACACCCCAGGGCTGCAGCCACCCCCCACCTACGGGGAGATTCTGGGCTCTCGGAGGAGAGGCTGCTGGGCCGGGGGCCAGGCATGGCGGGGGAGTGGCTGGGTGAGTGCTGACCCCTGCCCACCCCTGCAGGCCAAGCGGGTGGGAGGCTGTGGCAGGGCAAAGGGGAGCCAAGCTAAGCCTTGGGAACTGTGGGGAGGGTGGGGGGAGGGGGGGTCTGTGGCTGCAGGTTAAAGGCCCATGGATCCACCCAGGTGGCCAGAAGGGAGGATGGGAGCAGACTCTGGGGGGCCAAGGACCTGCCAAGAGGGCTCTGTGCTTGGCTTGAGGGGTAAGGGCAGTGTGGGTGCCACTGGGTGTCCGACTTGGCTGAGGGGACTGGAGGCGAGCTGTGGTTGTGGCCCTGGAGGCTGGCTGGCAGCGGGGATGGGTGACCTGTGGTGGGCACATGGGACCCAGGGGAGTCAGGACTCCATTTTTGCAGTATCTTATCTGAGTCCAGAGCCTCTGAGTCCCATCTCTCAAACCCCAGACCCTCGCCTGAGGCTCGGAGACCTGGAGGGGTGCTCCCGAGGGAGCCACCGGCAGGGACTGGCCCAGGGCTGTGACCCCCCCCACAGGCTCTGAGGACAAGGCCTGTGTGGGGGCCGCAACACAGCTCTGCCTGTTTAGGGGTCTGCCCTGAGCCTGACTAAGGGAGCTGGGGCCCCAGAAGGGGCTGTGAGGAGATTGAATGGAGGGGGACAAGGTCTGGAGCCTGTAGACATGGCCTGGCCTGTGGGGTGGGGGTGGGGTGGGCATGGGCTGTTGGGGTGCCAAGGTCAGGGACCACCTCAGCCAGCCTCCTCAGGGAACAGGATCTTTGCTCCTGGATGTGCCCCACTGAGTCCCCAGCAACTTGAGTGTCAGGGAGGATCTCCAGGTGGGACCAGCCTAGAGGAGGGACTCTCTGGGGCTGGGATCTGCTTCCAGCTGGTCTGAGCAGGTACGTGCCAGATCTGGGTGCCCTCTCTCCAGCTTGGGGACCGGGGTCTGCCTGTCCAGCACTGAGGCCTGTGCACAGGGGAGGTCCCGGGTGGGCCACGGGCCCCTCCTTTCTCGAGCGTGCGCCGGCCCCGTCTCAGTGTGTAATGGGGTCGGTGCGCACTGTCCCAGGCCGTGTTCTCCATAATCGGGGATTATACACAATCCTCCTGATCCTTGCAGCTGTCTGCCTAGGATGGCTGGAAGGCCCCTGGCGCCTCAACGGATACCAAGGGACAGGGCTTGGTGCCAGTAGGGTATCACCGGGAACCCCAGGACCCTTTGCCAATGGCCAGAGCATGGGCCTCTCCTGAGCTGGGATGTCTGTGAAGTGGGGCTGCCGCTGTCCCCCAACTTGAGGCTTTGCGATTTGTGCTGTGAGCTCCTGAATGTCCTGTTTACTTAATATTCTCTCTTCACACCGACTCCCATTTTTAGTTACAATTAATTTAAAAACACTCAATATTTGGTCCTTAAGTAGAAGACTGAGGTCACTCACAGCGCAGGGCGCAGGGCGACTGTAAAATCAAAGTGCACTGGAAACAAAATGGAAACAATGTTACTCTGCAGCTGCAGCTGTTGACTCTACCGGGTGGGTGCAGCTCCTGCCATCTGAGAAGAGGGATGAACACGGTCAGGTGGGAGGTGGGAGCTTGGAGCTCCTGGGCAGGCTTGGACTTGGTCCCTGGGCAAGGGACACCCTGGACGGAACGTGGCAGAGGCTGGTGGCTGTGGCAGGGAAGTGGCTGGGCCTCACCGGGGAGGGTCTGTTGGGGGACGCTGGACTGCAGACAGGGAAGCCTGATGCTTGAAACCACCTCGATGAAGATGACAGGTGAACCTGGAGGGGGATGGAGGAGATACCGGAGCAGAAAGGAACGTTGAGAATTGGGAACACCCAGGGCAGTGGGCAGAGAGGTGGTCCACCTGCTGTAGACACACTTGTGACCCGGAAGTGTCAGGTGTAGTAGCCATGCCTGGTGCCCAGGGGGTGATCAGGGCAGAGCTCTGCAGGTGAACCCAGGACCTGGGGAGCTGAAGGCCCTAGCCACCCTCCTAGAGGCCAGCCTCTAGGGCCAATGAGGCAGGTCAGTTTCTGCTGTGACAACCGTGGCCCAAACCACGCCAGCGTCCAGACGGAAGTTTGGAAGTAAAGTGAAACAGGACAGTGCAGTGGCCCAGAGAGGGGTCTTTTCAAGAAGGGGAGCCCACGGGTGCTTGCAGACCAGCGGGCACACACAGACACGCACACCCTTCCACCCGACACATGCATGCACCCAAGCCCTCCGGTGTCACAGCATGCCTGGGTTCACGCAGCACACAGCATCTGCCGTGGACTCAGTTCCCGTCCAGGTGGGTGCCCGGGAGAGGCAGCGCCCAGACAGCCGCAGTGCTGCCTGGAGGGTGCATGGGCAGCCAGCATGGGCCGTGGGCACACCCTTCTGAATGCTAAGTGCTCAGGGAGCTGAGCCCAAGGAGCAGCTCGTGTGTGTCATTCCTGGTAGCCAGAGTGGAGACTTGCAGAGGCCCACTCCACGTGGCAGCCATGCAGAGAGCTATGGTCCCAAGTGCTGCTGGGGAGTGGAGGGCCATGTGCACAGACACGCAGCTGGGGCAGCCTGACCTGTGGGGCCAGTAGGAGAAGTTGTGGAGTGCTGTTTTCAGGCCACTTCTTGGGTCTATTGACCACCAGCAATTCATTGCTTTAAGAGATCGCCACAGTGTGTGTGTGCTTTGCGGGTGCATGCGTGAGCATTTGGACATATCTCTGTCTGCGTGGAAGTGGTGCAGCCCCTACCCTGGTACACCACTTTTCTTGGGAAGTGAGTGAGGAACAACATTGAGGAGCCTGGCTGGCTGGTGTGGCTCAGTGGAGTAAGCGTCGGTCCATAGACTGAGAGGCCCTGGTTCAATTCCTGGTCTGGGCACATGCCCTGGTTGCTGGCTTGATCCCCAGTGCGGGGTGTGCAGGAGGCAGATGATTAATGTTTCTCTCTCCCATCAATGTTTCTCTCTCTTCCTCTCCCTTCCTTTATCTCTGGAGTCGATCAGGAAAAAAAATTAAAAACAACAACAAACATCTAGAACAAATAAGACAGTGTTCAGATCTGAGTCCACTGGGAGTGGGCTGGATTATCTTCTCTGCTTTTTCCATGTGTTTAAAGTTTTTTGCAAAAAAAAAAAAAGATTGAACTTAGAGACAAAGGGGCCCCAGGCAACCACCCTGGAGGCCAGGCCTGTCTAGGACCAGAGGCCAAGTAGGCGGGAGCCCAGAAGCCTGGATGGCGCATACAGAATGGATGGGTGGTGCACTGGCTGGCGCCTGGGCCCAGGACTGCAAGCAGGTGGAGACCAGGAGAGAGGGGGTGAGGCCCACACACTCTGCTCTCCCCTCTGCCTGGACCTACAGCCCTGCTCCTGGCCTTCGAGCAGAGGCCTTTCCAGAGCTCCCAGCCTTCTGCCTGCTGTGTGAACTGGCCCTACTAGTCAGTCCCCTAGGAGGAGTTGTTGGATTTGGGGAGGACCTTGTGGGCAAAGCCCAAATGAGCGGAAGTCATGAAGGCAGGTCACAGTGATAAGCTGCAGAGGGCCAGGATATTTCCTAAGGGACTGGGGGGGGGGGGCGGTGAGCGGGGTTGTTGTGGGTCCCACTCCCCCTTCTGCCTTTTCCAGGCATTTTGTCCCTTGGGTGGAATTCTCTGTTAAATACTCAGAGACGAAGGTAGAAGCTTGTTGGACTTGGAAGCCCTGGTGGCCTAGGCAAGAAGGGTCAGAGCTGGGTAGTTTGGGTGTGGACCTCAGGTCCCCCGTGGGGAGGAGACAGGAGGGGCCTGGGCAGCGGGGGCTATGGGTCACTGGGCCTGTCTCCCTGCAGCCCGGAAACAGGAGATCATCAAGATCACAGAGCAGCTCATTGAGGCCGTCAACAATGGTGACTTCGAGGCCTACGCGTGAGTCGGGGCCTGTGTGGCTCCTTGGGCAGCCTGGGTGGGCTGTGGGGATCCCACGAAGAGCGGTCTGGACGCCCTGGGCGGGCTCAGAGGGGCCCCTCCTCACCTGGGTCTGCCCCCCAGGAAAATCTGCGACCCAGGCCTGACCTCTTTTGAGCCTGAAGCTTTGGGCAACCTGGTCGAAGGGATGGACTTCCACAGGTTCTACTTCGAGAACTGTGAGTGAGGGAGCTGGGGGCGTGGGGGCGGGGCCGCCGGGGAGCCCCGGCAGCAGGTCCGGGGAGGGCGTGCGTGCAGGGGCGAGGGGCCGCCGCAGTGCTGAGCCGGGCCCGCCCGCAGTGCTCGCCAAGAACAGCAAGCCCATCCACACCACCATCCTGAACCCGCACGTGCACGTCATCGGGGAGGACGCGGCCTGCATCGCCTACATCCGCCTCACACAGTACATCGACGGCCAGGGCCGGCCCCGCACCAGTCAGTCCGAGGAGACGCGCGTGTGGCACCGTCGCGACGGCAAGTGGCAAAACGTGCACTTCCACTGCTCGGGAGCGCCCGTGGCCCCGCTGCAGTGAAGGTGAGCGGCGGGCGGGGGCGTGGCCAGGCGGCGGGCGGGGCGTGGCCAGGCGGTGGGCGGGGCCGGGCGGTGGGCGGGGCCAGGGGCGCGCAGGCGCACGCCGCAGCCCGCAGCTGACCCACCCCCTCGCCCTTCCAGAGCCCACGGATGTGTTCGGCGCCCGGCCGCCCTGTCGCATGTTTGTGTCTGCCTCTTCCTCCCCTGGTGCCTGTGTCTGCAGAAAACCAAGACCAGATGTGATTTCTTTTTTAAAACAAGATGACAGCAACCACGACAAAAAAAGAAAAAAAAAGTAGATGTCGGATGAAATGGGAAAAAAAAAAACTAAACAAAGGAAAAAGCTGTAAAATGACTGGCATTTGTGGGGCTTTGAACCTACTGGCCACTCTCCACCCAAGCTCCACTTGTCTGTCCGCTCTGGCCTCCGGACCGCTGGTGGTGAACTTGTCCACAGGGCAGGCCTGTTGCCCTAACAGTGTTTGTTCAATGGGGCCCACCCTTCCACCCTGCTCGGGGTGGGTAGTGTTAGGTGTCGTCTGGGGGGGCTGCAGGGGCCACGGGCCTGAGTGCAGCTGTTCCCTCTGCTTCTTTTCCCTTCCTCTCCCCCCAGAAGGCGGGTGTGGGCTCCTCCCCTGCCAGCCCCCCCGGTGCCCCAATGTGGACTGGCAGAATAGAGGCCAGGCCAGCCCCAGGGAGGACAAGCCATGTGAGAAGCCTTTGAGAGCCCAGTGCTCCGGCTCTGGCCCTCCCAGGGACTGGAGGTTCAGATGGGCACAGCTTGTTTCAGACTCTGGCCGGCTACAGACTGGCCTGGAAGACACCCTTAGAAGCAGCCCTGTGGAGAGGGGACCACCCTGTGGGCTGGCCTCCTATCTGTTCATGGGGCCAGTCTACGACACAGAAGGGCATGGGCTTGAGGGCCCAAGGCGCAGGGCTTGGCCCTGGAGCAGGAAGGAGGGGTCAGGCGGGGTGGTGGCTCCCTGGGCCCCAGGCCACAGCAGTAGTCCACGCCTGTGGCAGTGTGCTTTCGGGTACAGGGCAGGGCCGACCACCTTGCCAGGCGTCAGGAGGCTTCAGTGTATGACGGGCACCTGAGGTGGGGAGGAGGCAGCTGGGCTCACCTCAGCGAGGCTCAGGGATGGGCCTCGTGGTCAGATGGAGGCAGAGAGCAGCCAGAGGTGGGGGGCAGGTCTGATCAGGCAGGTCACAGAGGTTTGGGAACCTCCTGTTCAGTTCATGTTTTCAACAAGGATTTTCTTTATCTTCCCCCACAAATCAAGCCAAGAGAGGGGTGCAGAGTGGGGAACAGGACACAGGACCTGATCTCCAAGGGCTGTTCATTGTCAGACACTCAGAGTGGACTCTCCCTGCCTGTCCACAGCTGTGCTCAGGACAGCTGTCCCCACCCATGGATGCAGGGTGAACATCTGCCAGGCTCCCTGGGTGTGGGCAGTGAGCGGCAGGGCTCACCATGGACAAGGTGTGACCTGGCCACCCTACCCTCCTAGGGCCTCCTCCTGCCTCTCCCACTCATTATCTCCACGGAGCTGCCTGTCTGGGTTAATTTGGGGACTTTTTTCTGGGGGATAGTTCTTTTGCATGACCCCCATGAGCAAGCCACACCCGCTCTTCTAGCTAGATGTCCGCGGTGTGGCCTCGCCGGCCCGCCCTGCCAAGGTCGGCTGCCTCGGTGCTGGCCAGCTTTCTTCTCTTTTCGCAGAGTTTCATTGTCTTTTCTTTCTGAGCCTTGTAAGTGCACAAAAAATTATTTTGTTCTGTCTCGGAAATTGCAAATAAAAGGAAAACAGGACAAACTGCTTCATGTGCAGTCGGGTGCTTTGTGCAGGGACCCCACCTCCAGCCCCTCCCTGTGGGGCCCCCCGCTGGCCCTGGTGGCTCCAGAGACCGAGTCCAGACCTTCCGGCGCCTGTTGGGGGCTGGACGGCCTGGAGTCCTGTGTGGCTGCAGGTCACAGCTGCCTCCCAACACCCCCAATCTTTCTCGTCACCCTATTGACCTCTGAAGTGAGGCCGGAGAACAGTTCTCGGGAGGAACCCAAGGACCCGGCTCCACTGTCCTGCTGAGTCACTCCCTCCACCCACCTATCCCACTTGTGTGTTTTGCTGACTGCTGGCCACAGAGGCTCCGGACTCACAGTGTCCATAGCTACCCCGGCCTGCTTGCGTGAGCCCACACCCTGGGTGGTACAGACAAACGGCACACAGGCCTGCACAGGTGTCTGACACCAGGATCACTAGCAGCACAGTGGTGGCCAGTGGGATGCAAAGAGGAAGCAGCAGGCAACGGCAGCAGGGACTGGGACAGGCTTCTCAAGGAGGCCTGAATGACAGGAGCCCCCAGAGGGATTTGGGAACAGGATGCCAGGTGCAGAGCCTGAGGTGCCCTGAGGGAGGGTGAGCACCAGGGTGGTGGGGTTGGTGCTCCCAGCACGAGCACTTCCTGGGACACCCCTAGGCCTTTCCTGTGCTTGAGCTCTGCCCCATCTGTGCCCCTGGCCTGTCCCTCAGGAGGGACATGTCACCCAGGTGTATCCCTATAGCACGGGGACACAAAGCCTGCCAGGACCTCTCTCGGGAATGACCGCCTTTGGCCTGTGCCGACTGTTAGCACTGATGGCGTGGCTGCATGACCTGACTGATCACCTGGTCCTAAGACCATCTGATCACAGGACTGCATACTCAGGTCCAGCTGCAGGCCCCTTGGCCCTCTTCCCTCCCAGATGTGCGCTCCCATGGAGATGGCACCACTCCTGCACCTGACCCCAGGCAGTTGCTGCCTGTCTGTGCCTTAGCCTTGTGCTTTCCTGGGAAGCAGGGGCTTCAAAACCTTCCCAGACACCAGACACGCCCACCAGGGGGCTGAGACTGACCACCTCAGGCTACCTCCCCAGCTCCACCCTGGGGGCAGGCACCTCGCACAGGCCAGGAGGCCTCAGCATCAGTGTCAGTACTGGTGGGTTGGCACGGCAGGTGTTCCCAGGTATCTGGGCAGGGGGAGGGCTCTGCTAGGCACCTTGGGGGACCTGAGCTGGGCTGGGAGAATGTAGGACGGAGCTGGCGAGCGCAGTGTCAGGGCACGGTATCTCCTAGACCCGGGGCTTATCAGCTGTAATCAAAGGAGCCTCCCAGGCCAGGCTGCCCTGGGATCCTGAGCCCTGAGGTGGGACATCTCATCCTGTGTGTTGGGCAGCCTGCAGGTAGGCCTGGGCACTTCGGAGGTAGAGGCCTTCATCTGTCGCTCTGAAATGGCACCTGCTTTGGGCAGAGCTCCCTGGGCCTCAGCAGGAAAGGGCCTGCCAGAGCCGGGCTGCTTCTGATTTCGGTGGTCACCGTGAGCTGAAAGGAGGCCCTGGGCCAGCGACAAACCAGGCTGCCTGGTCTTCCGAGACCTCTACTGATCAGCTGCTGAGATCCTTCCCCAAACCAGGGCCAGGCTCCCCAGCCCCACACACACGCAGAGCCTGGCTCCCTCCCTCACCTGGTTCCCACTAGGTCTGCAGGAAAGGATCCTGCGTGGGCCTGGGGTGGAGGCAGATGCTGCCTCCCGGCCCCACACCTGGGTCCTGGCACACACTTGCCCCTGCAGCCCTCCAGGAGCAGGGACACAGTACAGAGGGGAAGGCCCCCCGAGGCTCACACAAACCACAGGATCATTTTGGAATTTCAAAAGACAACTTTATCCAGATAGGAATCTCTCAAACGACACAAGGAAAATTAGGCAGCGATTATTACAATACACTCTTAGCTGACTCAACGTTAGAATGACAGGAACAGGGATCATGCCGGTACAGGGCCTGAACCAGCCCCCGCCACTCCCTCTTCCCCCAAATCCACCCCCACCCTGGTTTCTCTCCATCATCTGTGACCCAGTGGGGTCACAGCCATCTCAGGCACCAGTGAGCAGGATGGGTCTGGCCCTCCTGGGGCGTGTCCAGCAGGGGGAACATCACTCGGGTGGGCGGGCTGGCTACACTGGGGGTGGGCCGGCAGTGCCCAGAAAAGCAGCAGCCAGCAGGAACCTGTCAGGGGTGGAGGGCTGCGAAGCCACACAGACCCCATATTCTGGCCCAAGCAAGATTCCATGGCTGCTGGCACTTCCTGCTGGGGGAGTAGGGCCTCGGGGTCTGGCAAGAACCAGCTCAGGGAGGGACTGCCCGAGACCACACTGGTTGACGCAGCCCCAGCGAGGGCTTTCATGGGGACTGGTCCCAAGGGTGCCTCCTGTCCTCAGGTGGCACAGCAGAGTACAAGGAACGGGGCAGTGTGACCAAGGGACCGGGCAGGCCAAGGGGAGCTGAAACCTGCCGGGCTGTTGTGCGGCCTGTGTTCCTGCTGCTGAAGGTCAGGTGGGATGGGGGAAGGGGTATGCGCTCAGACCAGTGCGGTATCGAGAGTCCTTGGGTTGGCAGGCACCTACTCTTGGTGCCCAGTTAACAGTGGCCACAGAAAAGTCCACTTGCTAAGACACGCAAGCCCCAGGTGGTGGCCAAACAGTCTTTTTGCCAGAGAGGCACAGCCTGTGATCCAGAGGTTCAAGGCCAAACTGCAGGTCAGAGAGGTGCCCCACCCCGTCCAAACACCTCTAAGGCATCTTTGTAGGGCCCTGTGGAAGTCCACCTCAGCAGAGGCAAACCCTCTCAGGACCTGGGAATCCCAGTGACTGTCTCATCACCATGGCCTCAGCCATGACCTGCTGGTCCACGCCCTGCTTGCCCCCACCCGTGACCCTGGGTGGCTTTCCCAGGAAACTGTGCGCTCTGCACCCTCTACACCCCGTGGAATGAGACCCCCCACCCTGCCTTACTGAAGTATGAATGTAGTTAATGTACAAGTGAAACCCAAGGCTGCCGAGGATCAGCAGAGCTGGCTCTGAGCCTGGGGTTGTCAGGTCAGAACAAGCCCTTCGGCATCTGCGGGAGTCACGGAGTGTTCATGGTTTCATTTGTCCCAAAAATACACTTCTCAGGGCTCAAATTACCTTTTCAAAAATCACTAGACACATGAATTCGAACACCCACCCCAGGTCCTTCCACCAGCCCTCGGCTCCTCCCAGAAGCTCCGAAGTGCACAAGAAGCGCTGCTGCTCTGGCCTCCCCAGGGCGCTGCCTGCCCAGAGCTGGTTGGGGTGGGGGCGGGGCTCTGCAGTGCGGCCTCTGCGGACCTCGGTCACATGACCGCACAGCACGAGTTCTGTTTCCGGGCCTAGAAAGAGACAGAGTGGAGCTGAAGTGGGGCTGAGGAGGGGGCAGGGGACTGAAGACGGGTCTGCAGGCAGCTCACAGGCATGGCTGTTTCCTCCTCACTCGGCTCTGACCACAGGGAGGTGGCTGGGCACAAACTGGTGTGGATGTTGGCTGGCCAAGGACTGCCCTTGCCCACCCTCTCCCCTGACAAGCCAGCTGGCCCTGGGGTTTCTTCTGACAACAGAGTGGTTCCACTTGGTTCCTTGGTCCGTGACCTCCTCTTTCGCTTCCTGTGCAGATACCCCAACCTCACAGGCCCCGTCCCTCTAAGACACACATAAAAACACAAGTGTGGAGAGAACAAGCGAACTCAGCCCCTCACTTTCCAGTGACAGACTTCTGTGTAAGAAACACACAGCCCTGGCCGGTTTGGCTCAGCGGTTAGAGCGTCGGCCTGCGGTCCCGAGAGACCCGGGTTTGGTTCCTGCTAAGGGCACGTACCTCGGTTGCAGTTTGTCCCCGGCCCTGGTTGGGTCGTGTGGGTGGCAGCCATTCGATGAGTCCCTTTCACGTCGATGTTTCTCTCTCTCTCTCTCTCCCTCCCACTCTATCTGAACAAAATATCAAAAAATGTCCTCGGGTGAGGATAAAAAAAAAAAAGAAACACACACAGGTGGTCATAGCCTGAGAATGGCTGCACCTCCCCCACAGCAGATGGCAGAGGTGGGTGAACCCGAGGTCAGAACCTGAACCTACCTCTGCCCTCCTGCAGGGCAGCCTGGGGACAGCGGGGGCAGGCCCCTGCTCGCTCTTACTGCCCAGCCCCTGAGCAACAAGGGCACATGTTCCCACTCACTGCAGGGGCCCGGGGATAGCTGGCGTACCCACCGTTTTGTAGAAGGCTTTAGACTGAATTCCCAGCACTTCGGATTTGGACACGAGGTCGTCTATCTTCTCGCCTCGTTCTAACAAGGACTCCATGGTGTTGTGCTGCAACAAGGAGACAGAGGTGATGCTCTGCTCCTTCCAGTGAATGGCCCTGGGCCCTCGTCAAGTGCAATCAGGGGGAGCACATTCCCTGGGTCCCGCCCCACACACAAGCGCCCAGATACACGTCTGACTTGGGCATGCAAAAGGACCCAGGGACCTTCCTGCGGAACCTGGGAGGCTCTAGTGGGCAGAGGGCCCTCCCCAGGTCTATAGCACAGGCTCGCACAGCCGCGCCGGCAGAGGTCACCACTACATTTACATGTCCTCCCTGAGCAGGCACATTCCACTTCCACTGAGGGGCCTGTGTTTAAATGTCACGACTACAGTCTACACGGGCATCTTCGCTCTTAAGGACTACAGCACGCAGACCCTCTTCCAAGGCGCAGAACCCACAGCTCCGCTGCTGGCCCTCGCCGCCACCCCCATGGTCACTGCAAGAGCAGCTGCCAGAGCCACTGAGCCTGAGTTCACACATGAAAAGGCTTGGAGCAAGGAAGCAGCAAAGAGTCCCGGTCTCCACGCTCACCTCGTCACTCAGATTTCACCACAAGAGTTAACTGGGTTAAGAGGCGGGTGAGATGAAGGGCAGAGTGGCCAATAACCCAGGCTGCACCATGCAGAACAGGGCGGGATGTGGGTGTGCGGGGAGAGCAGGAGCACAGGGGTCTGCGGGCTGTGGGCCCACGGCTCAGGCCCTACAGCAGCAGGAGCAGACGGGGCTTGGTTACGAAGAACAGAGATGCCTGAAGAACAGAGATGCCTGAACTGGCACAACCAGTTTTCATCCCAAAACCACGTTATCGGAAATGTGGCCCAGAAGACCTCCGTGTGGAACCCTGGGAGTCTGAACCTGGGGGCCACAACCAGCACAAGAGCGGCACAATGTTGGCAGGAGGGCTTTGTATCTGGTGGGGCCACTCACTGCCAGGCACTGGTGTCAGCGAGGTGTCCTTGGAGCAGGGGCCTGATCATCAGGACCAGCTCACACACTAGTTGCAGAGACGTGAAAACCAGCAGTGACAAGGCAGTGACAGTCAGAAAGGGCTTGTTGTAGCCTCCAGGTGGGAGGCCTGAGTGTGGGGACCTGCCCGGAGGGGACAGGGAATACAAGACATGTCAGGAACCCTGCACTCTATCCCTGGAGCTGACTCAGGAGCTGCTGAGGGACTTGGAACAGAGAATGGCAGTCCCATGGCTGGAGTCTGGTGGACGACTGGAGGTGGTGGGAAGTGGGGGACCCATGAGAGGCAGAGGCCACAAGGACCAAATCTGAGGAAGCTGCTCATGTGCCATCGGAGGCTCAGAGTCAGCACAGGCGGCAGCAGCTGTAAACCAGCCTTCAGATGAGCGCGGGCTCCAGACAGCCCTGGTCCAGTGAGTCCACCCAGCACCCAGAGCCCACAGGGAGGCGCCTGCCTGGCTGAGACAGGTGAAGGGCACCAGGGCTGGGGATGCAGAACCAGAGAACTACTGCCCAGGGAGCGGGGACAGGAACAAGGGCCAGACCGGCTCCCAACTTCGTCCTTGTAGCACAGCAGGTGCCCCTCACAGAGTGGGGCACACTGGGCTGCCTGGCTTCGAGGCCTGACGCTGGGAGAGGCAGGCAAGCAGCACCCTCAGAAGCGTGTGCTGGTCACGCCCGCAAGCTCGGCCTCGGTGAGCTGTCGCCTCACTTCCGACGTCTACCTTACCAGGATGATCTTGGTCTCGTCTAGTTCAGCCTGCACTTTACTCATGGGGTCAGCTTCTCGGGGATTCTAGGAAAGAGCCAATGGTAAACAACATCAGGACCAGAGTGACCACCTGGAGACAAACCTCAAAACCCAGCGAGCTGGACACATTTTCACAGGGCACTTAAGACAGAGCAGCGACAGCCGGCCTTGGAGCCCAGGTTCCAGGTCCTCACACAGCCCCCCACTTTCAACAGGGACACTGACATCGAGGCTGTCGGGAACAACCCAGAGTCGTAGCTATGAGACCTGGGAAATTCCCACGGTTCTGGGCACCTACCTGGTAGGTACTAAGGTATCTGTCCAGAGCTGTGTAGTGGATAGTATCAGGGGATCCGACTGGCCAGTGGACACTGTCGACCTGCTTGGAGAAATCATCCAGCACCTGCAAGCAAAGCAGCTCACTGACACCCACCTGCGCTCACCACGCCCACGGCAACAGGAGTTGGCCCCAAAGAGGCTGTCAGGCTCTTGGGCCAGGGAGAGGGCAGAGGGAACAGCCAACAGGCAAGGAGGAAATCCAGGCTCAAGCTCCTCCTTCCCGAGCACTCTGGACGTTCAGAAGGAAGTGTGTCCAGCCTGAGACAAACCTCGGCTGGTGAATAATAAAAGTATTAGAATTTTAAATGACAGTCTCCACTGTTCTCAGATTATGAATGTCCAGGGGTTAGGGTACTAGCCCTCTAATTTTCCAACCAATTCTTCAGAAAGAGAAGATGGAAGCCACCACATTTTACATGCTCGTCAGTCTATCAGGCCTTTGGAGGACAAGACACAGCCAGCGTCTTCGAGGAGTTTGTAATCAGCATCACAGGAAGACAGAAGAATATGCAGGCTCTGCCCTGGCAGGTTTGGCTCAGCGGTTAGAGCGTCAGCCCGCGGACCACAGAGTCCCGGGTTCAGTTCCCGCTAAGGGCATGGACCTCGGTTGCAGTTTGTCCCCGGCCCCGGTTGGGGTCGTGTGGGTGGCAGCCAGTCGATGTGTCTCTCTCACATCGATGTTTCTCCCTCTCTCTCCCTCCCGCTCTATCTGAAGACAAATGCAAAAATGCCCTCGGGTGAGGATAAAGAAAAAGAATGTGCAGGCTCTGAGTCTGCGCTGGGGCAGAGCCACCAGCACTGAGGGCGGCAGGAGAGACCCGGGGTGAGCAGGGATGGCTCGACAGAGGACAGGCAGGGCAGAGCGGCTCAGAGGAGAGAAAGTCACATGGGGTGCGAGCTGACCCAAGGGCTCCATCCCGGAGAGATGCAGGGACTATGGAGCAGATGGGGAGTCACAGCGGCCCTGGGGCACGAACCTGGGCACGGGCAGAAATCAGGGCCATGGAGGGGCTGGGGAAGGGCGAGGGGAAGGCTGTACAGGCTGGCTCTGGACACACTACTTCACCCCCAGGCCTCTGGCACTGTCATCACCCCGGCCCCAGTCCACACTCCGCCACCCACGTCCAGTGCAGCCGAACGACAGACTCACCTTCTCCAGCAAGGTGAAAGCCACCCGGGAAGGGTACTCACTGTCAGCGATGACCACGCCTGCAAGACTGTCATTCCGCACATAGACGTGGCACAGGTACCCTGAGGGGACACGGGCAGCAGAGCTCTACACCTTGCACCACCTCAGTCCAGGTGTCACCACACTGGGCTCCTGCCTTTGGGTCAGCGAAGCCCCTCTGCACAAGCCACAGTCCCTGAGTGAGGCCTGCAGGCCCCTCCGCACCAGCCAGTCCCTGAGCGAGGCCTGTAGGCAGCTCTGCGGCACAGCTCGAGGGACGCAGGACGAGACGCATACATAGGAGCTAGGCCGCCAGAGCAGCCCAACCCCCACCTCAGAATAAGGAGATGCCCAAGGCCCCCTAAGGCTCTGCTCCCAAACAGAGGAAACCCTGGGCAAGCAAAGTAGCCCCACTGTCTTTAAAAAAGCCCTGTAAGGGTGGCCCCAGTCAGGAAATCAGCTCTCTGGTCCTTGTCTGGCCTGCTCCGCTCTGGGGAGGAGAGTGAGGGCATGAGGAGAGAGGCCCATCTAGGGAAAACTGGTCACTGCTGGCTGGGCCTCCAGGACTGCTGTCAGTCATCAAAGCTGCAACATGCACAGCCTGGGCAAGGGCTTCTGCCAGTCACTCACAACCCACAGAACTGAGTCCTGTCACTCGGAAAGGACTGCGGCTGACAAATAAGAATGTCCGGTGTTGCCCTGGCCGGTTTGGCTCAGCAGTTAGAGCGTCAGCCCATGGACCAGTGTCCTGGGTTCGGTTCCCGTTAAGGGCACGTACCTCAGTTGCAGTTTGTCCCCGGCCCTGGTTGGGGTCGTGTGGGTGGCAACCACTTGATGTGTCTCTCTCACATCGATGTTTCTCTTTCTCTCTTCCTTCCTGTCCACCTCCTGCTCTATCTAAAGATAAATGTAAAAAAGACCATCCTCAGGTGAGGATAAAAAAGAATGTCCTGTCTTTAAAGTTCTCAGCCAGGAGATTCAGAAGCTAAACAAGGAAAACAAATTAAAGAGGTGAGGAAGCCATGAGCCTCTGGAATCAGAAACAGGCAGAGCCAACAGCAGCAGGGACGAGAGGGACCGGAGCTCACCACCGACACGCTCCAGATGTCCCTCCCAAGTAAGGCAGACTCCAGTGTGGGGACAAAGTGCACACGCCACAGAGAAGCTGGGCGGGTCTGAGGGAGTGTCCGTTAAGTCCAAAGTTGGGAAGGCAGACACAGACCGAGGGGACTGAGAATATCCAAATGTCCACACTCCAATTGCACTACTGGGAGGTGAGCACACAGGGTCCCACACAGGACAGAGCCAACACCACCAGTGCCGTCCCTGGTACCGTCGACACAGCACTGCCACACCCCAGGACCCACAGCCCGAGCAACAGGCCTTGTTTCTGCCAGAAGTCCACTCACAGCTTCCTGACCTGTCTGAACAACATACGTCTCCTGGTCAAAATCTCAGGAGCACAGAAGGCAGCAGTACCTGGACAGGGCGAGCAGGAAATCCCTCTTTGAGATGCCTACACTCTGGAGGAGGGGTCTCTTATTGCGTCCAAGCTTTGGGGGCGACTTTAACCAGGCAGCCAGACACCAACAGTGGTCACAGAATTTTGTGCAGACAGGGAAAGGAGGAAGAGGGAAGAGAGATCAGACTGGCAGTGTGCATCCTGGCAGCCCTCTCCTTCACGAGGCCACAGGTGGCCCAAGGTGTGGTGTCAGGCAGTGCGTGCGGGGCCCCTCTTACCTTGCTCTTTGACAGAAGCTCTGCTGCCTTCCGCCGAGCGCTGCACAATCAGCTGACTCGTGAAGGTCATGAATTCCTGAGCACTAGAAAACACAGCAACATTACCTGCCTCGTCCCCTCGTCCCCAGCACAACAGAAAGTGACCTGAGCTTGTCCATAAGGAGACACTGCTCCGTGGTTTCATTCCCTCCCAACCTTAGACAAATAATAAACACTCTGTGGATAAGCAGATCCAAATAGTTACAATCCACCACAGCCATTCAAACCACATCTGCTTACTACCCAGCTCACCCCAGCAACCCCCTTCCAGACTTCTAGGGCATTTCCTACAGGCTAGTGTCAATTTAAGAACTTGGTCAAAGTATGACTTGGGACATAGGAACAAAGCAGAAGCTGGCTGCTGTTCTCAAGGTCTCACTCACTTCCAAGAAGCAGGATGAATAAAACTGCACTGGAAAACAAAGGTGGCACGAACTGCATGGCTATGGTGCCAGTTAAGAGGCACACACCACAGTGAAGAGTGCGTCATCCATGGCATGAGCCCTGGGCACTCTGGAAGGAATGGAGGGCAACAGCTCGGCCAAAACATGGAAATGGAAAATGGCTGGAGCGAAGGCTTAGAGAGAGGGAGAGTTCGTCATGGGCCATACTACGAGAGTTCGGCCAACAACAGAGCGCATACATGACAGTGGTCCCATAAGAACCTCCAGGAAAATTAAGAGGAGGGCTTAGCAGAAGCGTTTACAGAGCTCAACAAGCTCCTTAAAAAGAATGAATATATGGACCTCAACAATGAAAAAAAGGTTTTCATTAATAAAGAAGAATGTTCATGGTGTACTATCTGCTTACAAGCAAATCTGTATCAAAACAAAAAACAGCCCTGGCTGGTTTGGCTCAGTGGTTAGAGCATCGGCCTGCTGTCCCGAGAGACCCAGGTTCGGTTCCCACTAAGGGCGCGTACCTCGGTTGCAGTTTGTTCCCGGCCCTGGTTGGTTGTGTGGGTGGCAGCCACTCGATGTGTCCCTTTCACGTCAATGTTTCTCTCTCTCTCCATCTCTCTCCCTCCCACTCTATCTGAACAAAAAATAAAAAAGTCCTTGGGTGAGGATAAAAAAAAAAAGAATTAAAAAATGGAAAAAGTACTCGGCCAGTGCGGCTCAGTGGTTGAGTGTCGACTCTGCACCAAGAGGTCGATGGTTCGATTCCCAGTCAGGGCACATGCCCACTTTGTGGGCCCAATTCCCAGTGAGGGGCATGCAGGAGGAGCCGATCGATGTTCTCTCTCATCAATGTTTCTATTTCTCTCTCCCTCTCTCTCTAACATCAATAAAGAAAAAATAAATCGATTAAAAGTGGGAAAAGTAAAAACATTATAGTTATGCTAAACTGAGGTTAACGTGTTATTAAAAAAAAATTAATATAAATTAGTGTAGCCTCAGTGTCCAGGGTTATGAAGTCCACAGTCGCGTCATTAACTTCTGCACACTCACCACGCACTCGCAACTCACCCACGTGACTCCCAGCCCTGGCTTGTGCCCTGCATGGTGTGTAGTATCTTTTATGCTGTGTTTTTACTGCGCCTTTTCTACCTTTAGACGTGTTTAGAGTCTCAAGCACTTCCCACCGCAGGACACTCGCTTGCAGTCCTCAGCACAGCGCGTGCTGTCCAGGCCAGCAGCCCAGGACGGGAGGCTGTGCACGCCGCCCAGGTGTGCCATTGGCTGTGCCGTCTAGGTGTCAGTGAGCTCTGTGGTGTTTGCATGGCAACAAAATCGCCTGACAACATATTTCTCAGAACACGTCCTGTTGTTAAATGACATGTAACTGTAATCCCTTAGAGAAGAGGTCGTCAAATAAGAAGTCCTTGCAGTAAAACTGTAAAGAGACAGAGCTTACAGCAGGATCATAATCTGACAAACTGCATTCATTGTGAAAGCCTGCACACACGGACCAGAAAGCTGGGAAACTATTAGAGGGTTTTAAGCGTGGGGTCTGGTAATCACAAGGCGGGAAGGATGGGGTGAGAGGCCTCGTGAGCGCCCAGCTGGGAAGTGTGTCACTGGAAACGTCCTTCTAGTTTTGCGATTGTGTTAACCACCTGAAACAGGTGCAGGCATCCCGAGCCAGCGAGGTTTCAGGCCTACAGTGAATAGCTGAGAATCTCCAGTATTCATGCGCAGGGAAAAAGAAAAAGAATCGGAGTGAGCCAAGTTGGCACGAACACACAAAAGCAGCCACACAGCAGGGTGGAGACCCTGGTACAGAAAGCTAAGTATCAAGAAGATACCACAAGACTGACCCAAAACTTTCAACAAACTAACAGGAGTTGTTTTAGGTCCTGCCAGCAAGCTGCTCTCATCAAGAACAGAACAGCCCCACAGGAGCGGTGGAAACAGAGGCCAGGGGCAGACAGGCCTGGCGCCGGGGACCACAGACAGTCTCTGTGGGGTCTCCCTGTGCCCAGGGCACCCCACACTCCCAGGAATGGGCGGGAAGTGTCTGTCATGCTTCCAGTACCCACCTGCTAGCAATAAAGTGCCCCCGAAATGTTTAAAAGGTCACAGCCCTACAGTCCCCCTGCCTTCCAAGTGCTCAGTGTAGACCCTTTGGGACCAGATGCCCAACAGACGCAACAGGCGCTGTGTAGACACAACAGGCGCTGTGTAGACGCAACAGCACTGTGTAGACGCAACAGGCGCTGTGTAGACACAACAGCACTGTGTAGACAACAGGCGCACAGCTGTGTGGACAACAGGCGCTGTGTAGACGCAACAGGCTCTGTGTAGACAAACAGGCGCTGTGTAGACACAACAGGCTCTGTGTAGACACAACAGGCGCTGTTTAGATGCAACAGGCGCTGTGTGGACAACAGGCGCACAGCTGTGTGGACAACAGGCGCTGTGTAGACGCAACAGGCTCTGTGTAGACAAACAGGCGCTGTGTAGACACAACAGGCTCTGTGTAGACACAACAGGCGCTGTGTAGACACAACAGCGCTGGCTGGCTGTGTAGACCTCCTGGGGCCTCAGGGCCTTCACCCATAAAAGGGGAGTCCGCCGGCACCTCTCACACTGAAGTTGTGGGAATAAACGGGGTTCTCAAGAGATGGCAGAGGGGTCCTGGCAGCCCACTGCCCGAGTTATTGGTCCGAAAGATTTCTGGGCCTCAGCCTAGCAATTCGGGCGTCCAAACGCGAACGGGGGAACCTGAATTTTCAAAGTCCCCTCATAATCTCGGTAGGGCAGACACTGGAAACACGGGGGGCGGGAGTATCTTCTAGCACAGCACAGACCTCTCTCCGGCAAAACGGTGACGACTACTCACAAGAGGTCCTCGGACGCAGGCAGCGGCCCCCCGGCCTCCCTCCCGCCCCACCAGCCCCCGCCGAATGCCCGCCCCCCGGCCCCCCAGCTCCGCCACGGCCGGCCCACCCGCCCCGACCCCGGCCCCCGACGCCCCCGGCCCCCGCCCCCACCTGGTCCTCTGGAAGAAGCTGAAGGTCGACACGTCGTAGGCGGCCCGGAGCAGCAGCGCCTTGGGGTCGCCCTTGTAGAGGACGCTCAGGCTGTACAGCCTCATGGCGCCGGGCGCCCGGCAGACGCACCGGCGGGCAGCGGGCAGCGGGCAGCGCGGGCGCCGCCCCTCGAGACCGCCGGCTGCTGACGGGTCGGACGACGCTTCCTCCTCCGGGCTCGGGGGCCACTTCCGGTTCCGGTCAGGGCCGCCGCCTGAGGCCTACGGAGTGAGGCCGCACCCGGGAGGCGGGGCAGCGGCCGGAAACACGCGGCGAGGGGCGGGGCGCGCGTGCGCAGGAACCAGGCTCCGCCCCGCAGGGCTGTTCCGGGCCGCCCGCCGCCTCCGCGCACCTCCTAGAGGGTCGGGTCCCCGGAGCCGTCCTGCGTCCCCCCCCCGAACCCCCCGGGGCCGTCCTACGTCCCCCCCCGGGTCCCCCGGAGCCGTCCTGCGTTCCTCCCCTCCCCCAGGTCCCCGGAGCCGTCCTGCGTCCCCCCCCGAACCCCCCGGGGCCGTCCTGCGTCCCCCCCCGGGACCCCGGAGCCGTCCTGCGTCCCCCCCCCCGAACCCCCGGGGCCGTCCTGCGTCCCCCCCCCCCCCCGAGACCCCGGGGCCGTCCTGCGTCCCCTCCCCCCGGGTCCCCCGGAGCCGTCCTGCGTCCCCCCCCCCCCGAGACCCCGGGGCCGTCCTGCGTCCCCTCCCCCCGGGTCCCCCGGAGCCGTCCTGCGTCCCCCCCCCCCCGAGACCCCGGGGCCGTCCTGCGTCCCCTCCCCCCGGGTCCCCCGGAGCCGTCCTGCGTTCCTCCCCTCCCCCAGGTCCCCGGAGCCGTCCTGCGTCCCCCCCCCGAACCCCCGGGGCCGTCCTGCGTCCCCCCCCCCCCCGAGACCCCGGGGCCGTCCTGCGTCCCCTCCCCCCGGGTCCCCCGGAGCCGTCCTGCGTTCCTCCCCTCCCCCGGGACCCCGGAGCCGTACTGCGTCCCCCCCCCCCCCCGAACCTCCCCTGGATCGCGCTGTCCGCGGAGGGTGGAGGCGGCCCTTCTGCGGGCCGCGGTGACTAGATGGCGCGTGCCTAGGAAGGGCCTTACAGGACACACAGGATGAGGCAGGTGTGCAGTGAGTCCAAGGCGTCCTCATGAAGGACATCCAGGAATTCTTCGTACAGTTTCTGCAGCTGTTCTGTGAGTCCGCCAGGACGGACGGCCAGTTCGGGGAAGGGGCGTTGACGTCACCTGTGCACCTGGGGAGCAACCCGCCCAGGACGAGGGGCCTGGCCGCTTAGTTCACCGCTGCTGGGCCAGGTGAGCACCACCACCTTCCAGGAGGCCCCGCCCAGGGAGCCCAGCCACGCAGGGGTCCGCCAGCCAAGGCCAGGGCACTGGGGTTGTCTCCACTAAACCCGCCCGGAGCCTCCCAGCGCACATGGGAGAGGCCTCAAGCTGGGCCACCGCTGTGGTCAGGCCTCCAAGAGTTCAGAGCTTTGAGTGGGGATTGTTTTGAGTTAAGGCATTTGAGGAAGGGCAGGTGCAGTAGGGCCCCTGCCCCCTTTCTGTTCCTGAAAGCAGGGATGAATCGGGAAGGAAGCATCCCCAACACCAGAGGTGAATGGAGGCGGAGAGAGACCTGTACACACCTGGCTAAACCCGCTATCTTCCTCATCGCCTCCACAGTGTACTGTCCTCTCCCAAACCCCACTGTCTCGTCAGTTCTTCACAAAGGTATTGTTTCTTCGTCTAAGATGCTTAAAAGCTTTCTGCTCTGGTCACTCGTTTGCATCCTCCCTCTCTTGTGAAGGCTCCCATGTACATGTAAAAATGCAATAAAACATGTAGGCTTTCTTCCTGTTGATGTCAGTGTAATTCTTAGGCCCAACTGGAGACCCACAGAGGGCAGAGATTTTTTTTCCTCTTGTACCTCCTTACACCTAACATAAAGGAGCACAGACTTGCCGCCGTCAGTGTGGGCCCATGAGCAGACCCAGTCCCAAGGAATTCTGCTCACCACCACAACCCCTCACCCACGTGTCCTGGGCTCCCACTGGGTTCTCCGGGCTACAGGACAGGCAGGCAGAGATGTGACTGCCACCAGCCGTGAAGGAATAGATGTCAGCAGGAGAGGATGGGTTCACCTGAAGACAGTGGACAGGAAGGGATCACAGCCAAGGAAGACAGGAGGCAGGCAAGCCAGCTGGGAGCTCTGGGACACAGAGGGAAGGGCACCTCAGAACTGCCTCCCCTTCGGGGGTTTCTCAGGAACTGCCTTTGTAGCACTAGACACCCTGCTGCAGCTCGGGTGGGAGTGGAAGTGTAGCCCTCTCTGGACACACGGCCTCTGAGGCTGGTAGCTTGACCCGAGGACGGAATCCTGACCCTCTGGAGCTGCCCTGCACAGAGAGCAGTTGACTGACACTTGAGAGAACCAATGTGATTTGCACAGACTAAGAAGGTGAGCAAACCACAAGCAGTGTAAGTACAAGCTTCTAGCAGAGCGTGGAAGATGAAATACACGTTTACGTATGAACTCCCTGGCAAATGTCCACTGGAATGACCCAAAGACAGGGCTGGAGGAGCACAGTGAGTGAGCAAGGCCACCCAGGGTGGGCAGGTATAAACTGGGGAGGCACAGTCAGTGACGGGGGCTCGGCCTGCTGGGGGTCGTCACAACATCATGAACCATAAGCAGACACAGCTTGGAGCGATGGGGAGCATTGCAAGGAAGCAAATCCTCCCCATCTCTGGACGCAGCCCAATTTATTCTTAGCAGTTCCCTAGGTTACACAGTGTTTTAGGTAATTAAGTCCTTGAGATACCGTCTCTGCTGACCTTTCAGCCAAGCCCAGCATTCTTCCTGTTCCAGCTGCCCCTTGCTGTTTTCAGCCGAGATACAAAACAAACATTCAGCCCTGGCTGGTTTTGCTCAGCAGTTAGAGCATCGGCCTGCAGTCCAGAGAGACCTGGGTTTGGTTCCCACTAAGGGCACGTACCTCCGTTGCAGTTTGTCCCCCACTCTACACACACAGACAGGGCTGGAGCAGCACAGTGAGCGGGCAAGGCCACCCAGGGTGGGCAGGTGTAAACCAGGGAGGCACAGTCAGTGATGGGGGCTTAACAGGTGAGGGGCTGAAGCAAGTGTCTGGGAGAGGCCCTCCCCCTGGGATCCCCTGGTCCTCCAGCCAGGAAAGCACCGCCTCCCATCACCCCAGGGAGCAGGATATGGGACTTTCCTTCAGGCCAGTTGAGTGGCTCCAAGGTTTTGCCCCTTTGGGGTCCTTAGCCCGTGTTTCAAGTAGTCCCTGTGGGAAAACGTGCCCTGTGAGGCCACTCTCAAGGCTCTGGCCAGTGTCACCTGGGGTCAGGGAGGGCAGGGCTGTGCCTCTGCATGAGGGACTGTCTCAGCGTCTCTCCTTAGCAGGAGACTGAGGCAAAGTCCTTCAACCTCCCTGGCCTCAGTGACCTTGTTTGAAAGTGGTGATAATACCACCCCTGCCTGCTGCCCCAGACTGACCAAAGGACAGAAGGAATGCACAACTGCTTTGTGAATTACAGATGTTTAAATCAATCGTGATGATGCTCTTTCTAATAAACGTATTGCCTTTCTTTAGGACTGATTCTAACAAGAAATGTGTAAAGTCTCTGAGAAAAATAATAAAACTCACCTGAAGGACATACAAGGGGATCTAAACGAATGGAGCAGTGTCCCGTTTCTGTGTGATGAAGATGTCAGTTCTCTGACACACATCCCCCAATTTTGTGCATTTCCAATGAAACGATCAATGGCGTTATTGTGTGAAAGAAGGTGAGTAGGTGTTAGGATTTCTGTGAAAGATAAAAGGCTCACAGTAAGGAAAATCTTGTAGGAAAAAGAGAAGGCATGTTTGCCCCACCAACTGTCAAAAAACTAGAAAGTTAGGCCGACGGAAAAAGAGTGTGGGATGGGCAGAGGGGGGCAGAGATGCCAGCGCACAGGCGGAGCTGAGACCACAGCAGGCGGAGGACCAAGAGCCAGGCTTCCCCTCGGACCATCGGACCGTCGTTGCCGACACAGGAGCAGAAAGAGTACCGACACTGCCACCCCTGCCCACACCCAAAGGGGGACTGAGTCCCCTGCATGTGCCCTGGCTGGCAGCCCGCTCTAGACAGCAGCTGGACCCCGAGGGGCCCGGAGACAGGATGTTCCCAGAAGGGAGTAGCAGATGGCCTCAGGCAGCTGCTCACAGTTCCTCCTTCCGGGTGGGGTCACTGTGTTCCGATACAACCCATTACGTGGTCAACATCGCAGGTCCGTTGGGAAAGGGTGTCCCACAAATACCTCATACCACACACACAAATACAGAAGGACCAAAATGCTAACCATTTAAAAATCAGAAAAAGCCCTGGCCGGTTTTGCTCAGTGGTTAGAGCCTTGGCCTGCGGTCCAGGGAGTCCTGGGTTCAGTTCCCGCTAAGAGCATGTACCTCTGTTGCAGTTTGTCCCCGGCCCCGGTTGGGGTCGTGTGGGTGGCAGCCAGTCGATGTGTCTCTCTTTTCCTCCCTCTCTCCCTCTCGCTCATTTGAAGATGAATGCAAAAGTGTCCTTGGGTGGGGATAAAAAATTTTTAAAATTGGAAAAATATTGGAAAGAAATGTGGGAGAATACGTTTGTTATTTGGGGTAGGAAGTGCTTTTCTTGAAAGCGAAGATTGAAATTTCCTAGAAAGAAAACACTTCTTATGATGAAAGACTGTTAATCAAGTTACAAGTTTAGCAATAGGCTGGGGGGATGTTATAGAACATTAAATATAGGATTAATAGATATTAGATATTATAGATAGAATAGAAAAATAGTTTATACAAATTGAAAGATAAAAGATAATTCAGTAACAAACTAGTTAAATAACATAAATCATCTTTAGAGAAAAAAGATACAGATAACCACAGCATATGAAAAGGTGTCCAGCACTTTGCAATTAAAACGACGAGACGACACGGTAGAAAATGATAGCTTGGTCCTGTCAGGGCCTGGCCGGGTGTCGGTGGAGAGGTGGGACACCGGTGCCAAGTGGAGGCTGTGAAGTGCTGTCCGTGCACACGGGGAACAGCTGTAGGGAAACTGAAAGTGCAGGTGCCCGCCCACCCGCGGGAGGCTGGTCTCCCTGGCCACTCCTCAGGCCCTGGGCGGGACCTCTGGGTGTCCTCTCCTGCTCTGTGCTGGCACCGTGGTCCTGCTTGAGAAGTACTGTGAGCATCACAAACACCAGCTCTGAGTCAGGCCAGAAACTGCGGAGACCACCTCCAGCTCCCATTTTGCTCCAGCCGTGAACGACCCCCGGAGCCAGCAGCGGAGTCGGCTCCAGCACCGGCTCCCTGATCCGGCCCAGGGCCTTCCCACTGCCGCGTGAGTGGAGCGCAGGGCTCCCAGGCTGAGGCCGGGTTTGTGGGCCTCTGCCTGCTGGGCCCACTGTTCCAACTTAGGCCACAAGACGCTGTCCGAGAAGGCAGCGGCAGAGCCTGTGGGCCCTCTGGGCACATGTGACAGTGCCGGTGGCCAAGCTGCCCACTCCTCTCCTCTGGTCCCCAGACTCTGGGGCCTCTGCTCTTTAGCACGTGAGTTTGGAAGCCCCTGTGACCCTGCCCTGGGAACTGGACAGGTGGTGAAGTCTTTGGTGACAAGCCATTGGGCTGTTGCTATGGTGATGGGGACAGAGGCCTTTTGCCTTGAGCCCGTTTTCTGCATGGCAGCTCTAATGACAGGCAGCCAGCCCTGCTGAGGCCGGAGGGCGGAGCACAGAGGCCCTGCTCCTGGTTGCCATGGCAGCACAGGCCCTCTGGAGCAGGAGGCCCCCACAGAATTCCCCACCGCACACCTGGTCAAAGCAGGAAGTGTTGGGTGGCGACTGAGCTCCAGGAAGCAGGCTAAGGTGTGAGAGAAACAGTCACCTTCAGCCTAATTACTCAAATGCTGTCCCCAGCCACAAGAAGGGACAGGAGCTGTTCTGCTGAGTCTGTCTAGAGGCCGCTACGCTGCACAGCTCACCACAGCTGGAGAGAAAGCTGACCACCCAGAGCCCAGTGATGGCCCTGCCCCAAGCACACCCAGCCTGACCAGGCCTCTGTGGGGAAGGATCCCGGGTGTGGCCCCGAAGACAAAGCTCTCGGGCTTGCTGGGGACGATGAAAAGGAGGAAACCGTGACTGACGTTCCAGCCAGAAACCAGCCAAAGGTGGACCAGTTTTCCAGGCGCCCAGGGCCAGCGTGACCTTTGGCTGGGAGAAGCCTTGGGAAATTCCCGCTTTGGAAACCTGTTGGGGAACGCCGAGGGGTCCCAGCTCACACGAGCTGGCCTCGGTGCCAATGCCGGATGACCGCGCCAGGATGGAGAGCACCAAGAAGGAACAGGTAGCTCTGCCGCTTTGGCTCTAGAAGCCTCTGTCCTGTGTCCCCACATGCAGTGGTTTTTCAACATGAACTCACGCCTGCCGCTCAGAGTCTGAGTTGTGACAGGCTCTTTAGGGAAGACCTGCGGGGAGACTCACGGGCACGGACTTGGCTGGGCAGAAAGGCCCTGCTGCCCAGCAGACCAGGCCCCTCCCCGCTCCGGACTCCAGCCCTGGGAAGTGACCTGTGTTGGTTAGAGGGTCTGCAGAGTTCAGAGCCTGGGGTCTTGCTGGCAGAGCCACAGCCCAGCCACGGGCCCGACTCTACAGCCAATGACAGGTCTCAGGCACCCACATGCCTCCAAGGATCTTTCCCGGGGAACCTGAGGCCATTACCTCCTGGTGAGAACCAGAGATCAGTTACTTTTTCCAAAACAAAGAGAAATCCAGACATCCCCTGAGCCAGCCCTGTGCCCAAGTAGTGAGCAAGGAGAGAGAGCAGGCCACGGGGAGAGGGCCGGGCCCCGGCACAGTGGGGATAGGAGGAGAGGCCTGGGCCTTTGCTTCGGCGTAAGTGGGGATAGGAGGAGAGGCCTGGGCCTTTGCTTCGGCATAAGTCCCTCCTCACGGTCTTCTCTCCTCCTTCTGTGAAACCACAAGGTCAGCACAAAGCGGCTGCTCCTGCTCCTGGCAGAGCTGATGGTGTCAGGAGGAAAACAGCCCGCGGGGTCTGGGTCCTGTAGCCGCGGGCAGCCAGGCGGTGGTCACTGCTACGGCAGGGGTCAGGGAAGGGGCCACTGGAGGCCCCCCGAGGAGAAGCAAGGTGGTGTCTTTGGCACAGCAGAGATGGCAAGAGTGTGAGGAGCCCGTGGCGGCCGTGGGGAACCCTCCAGACTCCGCTGGCCCGCGTCCCTTCCTGTTTGGCCCAGGGGACACGGCTCCACAAGGCAGACTGCTTCTGCTCCAGGGAAGAGGGGGTGCTGGTCCCCGTTCAGGAGCCAGGCTGGCTGCAGAGGGCGAGGGTCACCAACACTTGGGTCCGGGCCCAGAGTCAAACGAGGCAACAAAAACATCAGTCACCAAGATAAATAGTATTTTAATGCAAAAAGTTATGATGAACAGAATACCAACATTCTAAAGAAAGACAGGACGAGTACTACTGACTTTTTACTGGTCTCAGCCCTGTGCTGGCTGCTCGTGTAGCTGAGGGCCAAGGGGGGTCTGGGGCTGACACATCTGGGCCCTCCCCGCCGTCCTGGGGGGCAGCTTGAGTTCAGGGTCACCCTATAGATGTGATTTTCACTGCTGGTCCTGCCCGTGCCAGCCCTGTGTCCCCTGGGAAGTGTGACCCCCCCCCACCCGAGACAGCATTTGGCTTGGAGCATGAGCAGTGACCTGTTCACAGTTTCAAAGTTGTCCCACAGGCCAGCTATGCTGTGCCCACCACAGGCTCCCGGCGGAGAGCGTTCAGGTTGCTTTGAAGGGAACCTAGGGCTGCTGCTCTCTCTTCCCACGCCTCTGGTTGCCCTCACCTTGCTGACCCCCAGATCTCACCTGTGCTCCTTTTGTACCAGCTGCAGGACCGTGTGGCTTCAGGACCATGTTCAGTGACTTTCCCACACAGATGTCAGCTCCGTGCGGTTCCTAGGGCTCCCTGGGCAGGTCCCATTTACGCTGCCCCAAAGTTGGTCCTGGGAACCCCTTGGAATCCTGGCCTGAACTTCCCCCTCCCTCATCTGGACACTCCCCACGAGTACCTGAAGGGTGGGAGACATGGGGACCTCGAAGCACGCAGGTTGGCCACGTGTCAGTTGGCTCTGGCCCCATCACTAAATAGCGGGCCCAGCAGCTTGACCACAGCTCTGGAGTCTGAGTCCGAGACCAGGGTGCCTGGATGGCCAGCCCTGCTGTGGGCTTCTCCCTGGCTTGCAGATGCCACCTCCAACCTGTGTCCTCCCTGGTCTTAACTTCTTATTAGGACACTAATCTCATCACAGGCCCCACCCTCATGACCTCATCTAACCCTGGTCACCTCCCAAAGCCCCACCTCCAAATACCATCACAGTGGGGCTAAGGCAATGAAGGCTGTTTCTCTCTCTCCCTTCCTCTCTCTAAAGTCAACAAACACATGCTCAGGTGAGGGTTAGAAACATAAAGAGCCCCAGAGGCCCAAAGGGGCAGGCAGAGATTTTAGGCAGTCACAAAGACATGCCGGGTGTTTCCATGACCACAGAGTCTCGTACTCGACTTCCCGCCAGTGTGCCACCTGCTGCTTACTTAGACCCTGTGATGACAAAGTGGACAAACATCAGGCAGGGATCTGGTTTCCCAATGACCAAGCCTGCGAGTCGGTCCCAGGGGAAGCTCATGGAAACTCCGCAGGTGCCTGGCAGGTCTGGGAGTGCTGGCCCCTCCCTCCTGTGATCTGGCCTCCTCTGCCTGGACTCCCCCGGCCCAGCCCAGGCTCACAGCAGAGTGGGCCACCACTAGCACATCAGGAAGGGTATTGGCAGGGAGACCGCGTACATGAAGTCCCGTGAGCCCCCAGCCCCCACCACCCCAGGACTCATGTTGTAAATGCTTCCCCTTGAGGGTGGCCGCCACCCCTCCACGTCCACCCCATCTCTGAACTCCTGGGCACAGTGGGGTCCTAGTGCCAACAGCGAGCTTTGCTAATGGCCTCTGAGTCCACATGGCTCACGCTCCGCTGTGGGAGACTAACAACCCCAGACCCAGTGCCCCACTGCACTCTGCCGGCTTCTTGGCCTTGGCTACTGGTAGTGCCCTACTGGACATCCCTCCATGTCTTCCTCACCCGGCTCTCAGTGTGGGCGCTGGCCTGGGGAGGCCAGAGGCAAGAAAACAGGGAGGGTAGGTGGAACATTGCCTACCTCAAAGGCCAACATCCTTGTTCTCCTGGTCCCCTGGTCTGATCCCCGTGTCTCCTGGTCTCCTGGTCTGATCCCCTGATCTCCTGGTCTGATCCCCTGGTCTGATTCCTTGCTCCCCTGATCTCCTGGTCTGGTCCCCTGGTACCCTGGTCTGATCCCTGTGACCCCTGGTCCCCTGGTCTGATTCCTTGGTCCCCTGGTCTCCTGGTCTGGTCCCCTGGTCTGATCCTTGTGTCCCCTGGTCTCCTGGTCCCCTGGTCCCCTGGTCTGGTCCCCTGGTCCCCTGGTCCCCTGGTCCCCTGGTCTGGTCCCCTGGTCCCCTGGCCTCCTGGTCTCCTAGCCCTACCCTAAGAGGTATTCGATCGGAGAGTTACATTACTCAATTTCTGCTTTTCAGCGATCGCTCTGGGCGCTAAGGGGGAAGAGATGACAGGGGTCAAGCGTGGAAGCAGGACTGGGTGCTGTTGCCCGGACTGAGCTGTGAGGAGATGGTGGCTCAGGACGGTGGGGTGAGGCTCAGGGAGAAACAGAACCCACTCTGGACTTGCAGCAGATGGGGCGTGACAGTGGCAACAGTACTTCCAGAGCCGGGGCGGGGCGGGGCTCTACGTCACTCCTGCGGCCCAGTCCTGGGCACCCTCTATGGATCCCGGGAGTTCTTCATGACTGCACATGGGGCGTTGTATCAGCACAGCTTTGTCGAGAGGTGAGAACAACCCCTTTCCTCCTGCCCCTGTGCATTCCCAACCTTGGATGAGCCCCTGCCCAGTCCCAACATCGCATGGCTCACGTGTGGGTTCTGTCCGCAAACCGGTCGTCCACTCCTCTCACTAACAGAGTGTTTATTAAGACGTGTCACGGGCTACACCTTGTTTTGGATGTTTCCATATCTATTGTTTTTTTTAAAAACTAGCCCTGGCCAGTATTGCTTAATGGTTAGAACACCGAAGTGTCTCGGGTTCCCTGGTCAGGGGCACGGACCTGGGTTGCAAGTTCGATCCCTGCATGGGGGAGGCAACCAACCTGTCTCTCTCTCTTTCCTCCCTTCCACTCTTTCTAAACATCAATGGGGAAAAAATACCCTTAGGTGAGGATCAACAAAAACAAAAACAAAAGTCTAAGTGGAAATGCGTTGGTCTATCCTCAGGACAACCTGTCCTGGCCCCTCTTCCCTGGAGAGGTCTGTCCCCTGCTACGCTGACCCGACACCAGCCCAGTGGGGACGGTGTGGTGGCACTCTTCCCGAGAGGAAGTGGCGAGCTGGGCCATGGTGGGCACACGGGAGGGTTCGCATAAGGCCTGCCAGTCAGGCTCTGGAGGACACCCCAGTGCTGGAGCAGGAGTGCAAGGAGGCAGCCCCAGGAAGGGGCCTGGGGTGATGCTTGCTGGTCAGATGCCAGCTGGTGGGCACACTCAGTGCAGCTGAATAGAGAGGGGGCCTCTGCCTCCGCCCCAGCCCGGCCCACTCTGACCTCCCCGAGGGAAGGGCTGGACGTTCCTGGTCCTCTTTGGCCCAGGAGAAGGGCCGAAGCTCCTTGGCCTGGCTGGGCCGGAAGGAATGGGCCCTGCCCTCCCTCACAAAGGGGCTCAGAGCCAGAGGCTGGGAGTTAGTGGCCTGCCATACGTGGTCTGGGGAAGCCACTTGGCTCTGTTTTGGGAAAAAGATCAGTCGTGCCAAGGGCTTTCTCTGGGGTGACCACCGGCCACCGGCAGGAGAGGCATGCCATCCCTTATCTGCTCACTTGGGGACTCCTGCTAATTTTAGCAGGTCTTGGCAGGGGTGGGCATTTCTAAGAAGAGATGGCTTCACACCTGGAGATAAGTTCACACCTCGCGGCGTAGGGATTAGGGGGACATTGTCTGTGCTGTCCGAAGTCCAAAGCCAGCTGCAGCCAGGACTTGCAGGCCCCAAAGCCAAGGATGACCTCCCTACCTTCTGAAGCAACTTTTGACCATAGACAGTGAAAAGCCCTGCCGAAAACCAAGCATTTGGGGGGGGGGGGTGGCTGGCCCTGGGATTGGGGTTGGAGCCCTACCTCCATCAGCTCCCCAGCTCATCCTGCTCCCCAGCCTGCCCCCCAACGCCTCGCCCCGCCCCGCCCCTCACTCTCATTGGCTCACGGGAGGTCTTGCACACACTTGAACTCACCTTACTGACCGAGGGGCGGGGCGGGGGGGGCTCTCCTTGAGTTTTTGGGGTCCCAGCAGCGCACCGGCTTCTTCAGTGCCTGTGGGGCTCCTTCTGTGCAGCAGATTCTTGGGACAGAAATCGTTAGATCAACGTTACAGGTGGACAGCAAATCCAGGTTGCCCTCTGACCAGGTGGTTCAACTTCACGTGGTCTCTGAATTCCGCAGCCGGGACTTTCTGGCCTGCACGCTGCAGAGCCAGGGCCTCACCCAGCCAGTGGCCTGGACACCGGAAGTGGAGCCTTTGGCCGGGGCCTCTGCCGCGTCCACGCGCGTGGCCAGCAGGCGGGCTTCCAGGACAGAAGGGCCGAGGGCGGGGCCTGCACCGCGCCTCCATCGCGTTTGTTTGGGACCCTCGGATGCCTTCCAGTTGGTCCCTGTGAACTGTTCCGTCTTGGGGGAGATGCTGTGACTTCTTGAGCCTTCCCTGGTCTAGAAGATGGGCAGATGCTGGGGCCTCCCCGTGTGCTCGCCACAGGTGTCAGCCTTGTGTAAGCTCTCAGCTCAGGGTCTGGGATGTCCCTGTGAACGTGTGTAAGAGAGGCAGGGGCGAAGCGGTGGGCACGGCCCTGAGACACCCCACCCGCGCTCCCTCCCCGCCCAGAGCTGCAGACCCAGCCCGCTCCACAAATACTGGCGTTTGAATCCGTGCGCCTTCTCCTAGACTGTCAGCCCCTTCCCTGTGACCTTCCCTGGATTTAAATTTAAGTTGTGTGGTGTTGATAAGAGGCAGGGCTCCTGAGTTAGGAGGCGTATTCACAGGAACGCTTCAGGCCCAGGAAACCGCAAACTCACTGTGGCTCTGGTATCGGTGGGCGCTGCCTCAGCCAGCACTTGGAGGCGGCCGGCAGGGTGGCTCAGCACATGTGACGACACCAGGCGGCTCCTGTCTCTCTTACCCATCTGCGGCTTGCTCACAGCTGTTCCCTTCAGCCTTGGCTCCTCTGGCTGCAGGACAGCTGATCCGTCACACCTCGCACACTGTGCTCACAACCTCAGGGGGCACTGCACGTCCCCGCAGGCCCTCTCCTGCGCAAACCAGGCTTCCTTTCGCTCGTCGTTGGCCACATTTCCAACTTTAAACCAGTCCCCAGCTGTACAGAATGGGGTCCCTGTGCTTGGCTTGGCCCAGACACCGCCTGCTCCCTGGGCCCGGGAAGGGCTGCCTTCCTTTCGTGTGCTACCTCCAGCCCAACAGAGTATCTGTGCTGCCTCCTGGCCGGACTCTGAGTGTCCCCACGGACTCTGAGTGGCCACAGCTTTTGTTAAGTATCTTTCCTTTTTGGTCCAAACAGCCAGGGAATCGCAGTGGCCTTCCCTGCGGTGATGTGCGCTAGTGTGCACAGGGAGCAGGGAGCGTGTGCTAGTGTGCACAGGGATCAGGGAGCGTGTGCTAGCGTGCACAGGGAGCAGGGAGCGTGCGTTAGCGTGCACAGGGAGCAGGGAGCCACGCCAGCATCCACACAAGGGAGCAGAGCAGGCCCAGCTCACCGGGGCACGTGGGCATGGCGGCCTGTTCAGGAGGAGCAGCAGCCACTCCCCAGGAGGTTCAGGAGGAGACCCCACCCAGGCCACCTGCACTCTCAGGGAAGGTTGCACTGGTGTGCATGGCCTCGTTCCTGCCAGTGCCCCGGGACCCCCAGGGCCCCGAGCCTTCCGTGCTGTGGACGGCCGCATGTTCGTCAACCAGACACCTAGCTGTCCTGACTGTCCCCGTGCTCTGGGTGCACATGGCCCATTCACACCCTCAGCATCAGTCCAAGAACGTGAGTGACTGGACCCGTCACTGGGTGATGCTGGCTGCCCCAGCCCTTCAGACAGGCTGTCCCAGCTGGTCTGTGTCTCATCCCACCCTCCTGGTTAGTGTCTTCTCCTCCCCTCGCCTCCACATCTGCCCTCTCCTCCAACCTCCAGGGCTAGTCTTCAAACTCCTACTCTAATTGCTCAGCTGGTTTTAACGATGTTGATTTGACATGATCAGTCACCCTGGACCAGGGCCAGAGAGCAAAGGAGGTCCTCGGTGTGCCTGGTCCCTTCCCTACCCAGCTGTGCACCTCCCCCGGCAGGTGGAGCAGATCCTGGCGGAGTTCCAGCTGCAGGAGGAGGACTTGAAGAAGGTGATGAGGCGGATGCAGAAGGAGATGGACCGAGGCCTGAGGCTGGAGACTCACGAGGAGGCCAGTATGAAGATGCTGCCCACCTATGTGCGCTCCACCCCCGAAGGCTCAGGTACTGCCCAGAGCCAGGACAGGGCAGCTCCTCATGCATCAGCTGTCCCTGGCCCCTCTAAGAGCTCTATCCACAGCAGCCCCGAGACAGGTCCCCAGGGGCTGGGCCCCAGACAGGCCAGTTCTCACCTTCTCAGGAACCTGGCTTTTTTCATCTCATATTGAGCTCCCTGTGGTCACTGCCTCCCCCCCCCTCCCCAGTCCTCAGTAAGGACCATTTTACTCATTTTTCAGTGGAGCCCTGGGTTTGGGGTGACTTCCGTTCAAGGCAGGGGGTTCCCATGGACTTTCCTCCTTTGACCTCTTCCACTACTGAAAAAAGTAGTGTCCCAGACACCTGGCATCGAAGCGCCTTGTCCAGCTCCCCTGGCCTGCATGCCTTCCTGCCTCCTCTCCCTGTGGGTGCTGCCCTGAGGCTGACAGGCTTCTCCCTGTGGCTGCAGAAGTCGGGGACTTCCTCTCCCTGGACCTTGGTGGCACCAACTTCAGGGTGATGCTGGTGAAGGTGGGGGAGGGAGAGGCGGGCCAGTGGAGCGTGAAGACCAAGCACCAGATGTACTGCATCCCTGAGGACGCCATGACGGGCACTGCTGAGATGGTGAGGGGCCTCAGCGCTCTGGGAGCCCTGGGCGGGGGCCACCTGTCCTCCTGGGTGGGGCTGGTCCTCAGCGGCAGCAGTGGGGGTGGCCAGGACACCTGGACACAACAGAGGACATTCTGGGTGCTGGAGACAGAAGTCACAGTTGTAGCCAAGGAGATGCCTCTGTCCAAAGCCTGACAGCCAGTGTCACTGTGACAGACCAGAGATGGGCTGGGGACAAGCTGCATCCCAGAGCCGCCCTGTCCCTGGGGCTGCCATGAGCAGGACTCTGGGGGAGGCTCAGGGCCTGAGTCCCCATAAGCAGTGGGGTCAGAAGAGGGACTGAGTGCAGGTCCAGAGCCGGTGTCCTGGGCTCAGCACAAGGCTGGGGGTGGGGGGGCTGCGGCCAGTGCCCTGTGGCCCATCTCTTCCAGCTCTTTGACTACATCTCCGAGTGCATCTCCGACTTCCTGGACAAGCATCAGATGAAGCACAAGAAGCTGCCCTTGGGTTTCACCTTCTCGTTTCCCGTGAGGCATGAAGACATCGACAAGGTGGGGCCCAAGGAGGCTGGGCAGACAGATGGGCGGACATGGACCCCAGACAAAAGCACCCTGGGCTTCCTTCACATGTGGTCCCTTGTTGGGCAAAGCCTTGGATTCAAATTGTGCCCATCACCCGTGCTCTGTGACACTGTGGGAAAGACCGTTAGCTGGTTCTCACTATTTGCCTTAACTTCCCCATAACATTGTACCCCCCTGACAGATTAGGGAGCTAGGGTGAGCGACTGGCCAGGTGGGAGTTGGCTGCACTGGGGCTCAAAGCGGGCAGGTGGGCTCCTCTGGCACGCCAGGTGTCATCGCAGTGCGGGACCCTGTGCTGGGGGCTGTGGTCGTACCTACCTTCGAGCTGGCAAATCAGCCTGGGTTACACACAAACATGTCAGCTAGACACACATACACACACACATCAGCCACATACACAACTTAACTTTCCATTTGCACGTGCCAAGCACACAGACATCTGTGACACGAGACCTCATGACACAGCAGCAGCGGGAGCTGCTTGTCCTGCTAGTTTCCTAGCCCCAGACCCCATGGTACACTGGGTGCCGACTGGTTCCCTCACGTGCAGACGAACCCGATCTTATATGGGGCTGCTCCCCTCCAGACCGCATCCTTACTCTGTGCGTTACTCAACAAACATCCTTAAATTGCTGGGACCCAGCCCTGCAGAAATATGCTCACCCTCAAAGTGGGGTCTGTGGTCCGAGGTAGCTCCCACCCTTCATCCCGCCCCGGCCCTGTCAGCAGCCCTGAGGTGCTCCTCTCCCTGCAGGGCATCCTGCTCAACTGGACGAAGGGCTTCAAGGCCTCGGGAGCCGAAGGGAACAACATCGTGGGGCTCCTGCGAGACGCCATCAGGAGGAGAGGGGTGAGGAGGCACCTGTGCCCTGGCTCCCCTGCCCCCCCAGGGCAGGATGCCAGGGAGGGTCTTCTGGGTGCCCCTCAGGAAGGGGTCTCGGCCTCCCTTGTTGGGCTAGACTGGCCCAGGGCAGGCTGAACTAGACCCCCGGCCCCATCACCACCTCTGTGCCTCTTGGCAGGACTTTGAGATGGACGTGGTGGCGATGGTGAACGACACTGTGGCGACGATGATTTCCTGCTACTACGAAGACCGCCAGTGTGAGGTTGGCATGATCGTGGGTAAGGACTCGCACCCTGCCCGATGCAGGGGCCTCAGCCTCAGGCCCTGCGGAGTGAGGGCCACAGTGCCAGCCGTCAGAGACAGTCAGCACAGGGACCGGGTGCCAGGCACAGCCCCCCAGGTGCTGTGGCCCGGGGCAGGCTTGGGAGCGGCAGGGTGCCCTGATGCTCTTTCCCGGTGGGAAGCATTTCAACACGTGCAAGTCGGTGCATCAGATGGCACACCAGCTGCTCATGCACCTGGCCTGTCAGGGTTTAACTAGAACACCTTATGTGGTAAATTGACCAAACTAGACAGAGTTGTCCAAGTGGAAAAGGATAAGCAAAAGTGGCATCATCTGTTCCTGGACGGTCAGACCATGACCAGGGCCACTGGCCTGCCGTGCCTGAAGGGGAGGCAGGTGGCTGGAAAGGAGGCCCAAGCTGTCCCCAGGGGGTCTTCCACACCCACTGCCGGCCCTTCCCAGTAGCATTCACTGAGCGGCAACCCCCAGAGCAGTTACCTGCTGGCTCACAGGTGTGCGGACATTTTTCTGGAATCTCTGGGCCCTGGCTACCCAGAAAGTTGGTGTTCAGAGTTGTTCGCCTTGATGGGCCCTTCAGAGCCATTCCCGACACCACCTCCTACACGTGTTTGCTGAGCCTGACCTCCCCCTTGCTTCTCACACCCTCTTCCGTTCTCACCTTTCGGGTACAACGTTGTCTTAAGCCCATCACCTACACAGGACTCAGGGCCCTGGCTGTGCTCCCCTGCACTCTCCTGCAGAGCACCTGGGGAGTCGAGTTGGGCACAGTCCCCAGACACCCCACCCTGAGCCCTACAGCCACTTGCCTCAGACACGCCCCTCCTGTGGCAGAGGTGGCAGAGGGCAGCCTGAGGTTACACATGCCCACAAACACTCTTCCTTACTCTGCTCAGGGCTTAAAAACATGTGTATGATACTTACCAAGATCTAAAAATTGGGAGAATTCATATCCAAGTCTAGATTTCTGGTTTTTTTCCACACAAACAATTGGAAGGCCTGGCACCGCTGGGCCCCGAGTCCTGCTGGGCAACATCAGTGCCAGCATTTGAGTTGCTGTCCCTGGAGGCTTTCGGGCCTGCAGCCCACACAGTCACGCTCAGGATGCACTCTGCTGACTTTGCACGGCTCCCTGCAATAGCCTGGGCCCACACTGTGCCTTAATCCCCTCAGGGTCCCCCCTGAAAACAGGGCCTGGGACAGGGAAGCTTAAATGCATGGAAAATGCCAGAAAACAAGAGTGGAGCATTGACAAAATCATAACATCCCACACCCCTCTCTATTTTGCACATTTGACACGTTTCCCTTAGTCCTCCCAACCGCCCAGATAATGGGAGGTGACGGTATTACCATTCCCTCTTGGGGACGAGGAACAGCCCAGGGAGGTGGGTTCATCTACCTGAGGTCACACAGCAAACCCAGGTCCTGTACACCTGGGAGAGACTTCACACAGTGGTGGAAGCAGGGAAGACAGGGCACAGGGGCTTCCTACAGGTGGGATGGTGGGGTGGGGGCATGTAAGAGAGGCGGCTGGGGAAGCGCAGCCCCTGCCCCAGGCCCCAGGTGGGTCAGACACTGCTGCCTCCCCCAGGCACAGGCTGCAACGCCTGCTACATGGAGGAAATGCACAACGTGGAGCTGGTGGAAGGGGAAGAGGGCCGCATGTGCGTCAACACCGAGTGGGGTGCCTTCGGGGACACTGGCGAGCTGGACGAGTTCCTGCTGGAGTACGACCGCATGGTGGACGAGAGCTCCCTGAACCCCGGCCAGCAGCTGTAAGGACCCGCCCTCCCCGCCCTGTTGGCGCGGAAGGGACTGCCACGCAGATAATGGGCTTGTTCTCAAACGGGGCTGAGGAAAAGCAAAGGACAGGCCCATCTCTTCCTCCAGCTCACGCACTGCTCTGTGAACCGGGGACAGTGCGAACTTTAATCCTCAGAAAGGGGGTGTGTGCATAGATGAGCCAGGACCCCCCCCCTTCCGACAGGCGTGGGAAGGCTCTGAGACTCCCCCCGCTGCATTAACTGGGTTTGATCCAGAGTTCCCCGAGGTGCAGATCTGCCCGCGTTCACAGAAGGGACACACAGTAGCATGTGGTGAAGCGCTGCGGGTTCGGGACACCGCCGGTCAGGACCCGCGGCTCGCCTGCTGATCCGCGTGTCTTGTCTGGCTCGCAGAAACCCTTGCTAGGTCTGCAGCAGTCCGTGTACTTCAGGGGGGGACACGGAGGCTCCGCGTGGGGCAGGCGCGTGCCAGGGCGGCGCGCTCCCAGGGCGCAGGGCTCGGGAGCCCTGGCCGCGCCCCAGAGGGGTCGCCCGCCCCCTGAGATGTATTTTCCCACTGTAACTGGCGACGAGCATAGCACCCCGTCACGTGGGAGAAGCCACGAGGACTCGGGTCACAGGACGGTCTCAGGTCCGGACCTGGGGCCGCAGCGAAGCCCCGCGCGTAGTTTCTCGAGCCCCAGTCGTTACGTGAACGAGCGTGAGCCCAGGTTCGGCAAGAAGGGGTCACAGCGCCCCTCGTGGCCGGGCCGGGCGGTGGTGCGGCCCCGGCCTCCGCCGGTCCGGGGCTGGGGGCCTCCCCGCTGGGGATGACGCGAGCGTCCTTGGTTCAGGTACGAGAAGCTCATCGGCGGCAAGTACATGGGCGAGCTGGTGCGGCTCGTGCTGCTGAAGCTGGTGGACGAGAACCTGCTCTTTCACGGGGAGGCCTCGGAGCAGCTGCGCACGCGCGGCGCCTTCGAGACGCGCTTCGTGTCGCAGGTGGAGAGGTGTGCGGGGGGGGGGGGGTGGGGGGGGGTGCGGGGGGCCGAGGATCCCCTGTGGCGCCGGCCGCCGGACAATTGGCGGTGCCCGCGTGTCCCCTCCGTGGCTCCCCACCCGCCGTGGACACCGTCTCACTTCCACCACGCAACTGCCCGGAGGCGCGGCAGTGTCGCCCACGTTAGAGCGGAGACCCTGGGCTTAAAGAGGAGTAATAACCAGGTTACTGCCAGTCGCTGGCGGAATCCTACCTGCCCCCCCCCGTCCCCCCAGCCCAAACCCCAAGCGCTTTGCCTGGGTGAGGTGGACAGGGCAGGGGATGAGGCTGCTGCTGGGGCTGGACACGCTGGCTGGGGACGAGCGACCCTCTAGCGCCGCCCTCCCGCCCCGCAGCGACTCTGGCGACCGCAAGCAGATCTACAACATCCTGAGCACGCTGGGGCTGAGGCCCTCGGCCGCCGACTGCGACATCGTGCGCCGCGCCTGCGAGAGCGTGTCCACGCGCGCCGCGCACATGTGCGCCGCGGGGCTGGCGGCCGTCATCAACCGCATGCGCGAGAGCCGCAGCGAGGACGTGATGCGCATCACCGTGGGTGTGGACGGCTCGGTGTACAAGCTGCACCCCAGGTGAGCCCGCGCCGCCCTGGCCCACCTCCCTCCTGTGGTTCAGGGTCCTGAGGGCGGAGCCCGGCCCCCTTCCCCACCGACGAGGGCAGAGCCCGGCCCCATTCCCCACCGACGAGGGCGGAGTCCGGCCCCCTTCCCCACCGACGTGGGCAGAGCCCGGCCCCATTCCCCACCGACGAGGGCAGAGCCCGGCCCCCATTCCCCACCGACGAAACACGAGGGGAGATGGACGCTCTCCCGGGTCTCTTGTTGCTCATAGATCCAGGTGTTCTTATCTCCTCTTCCTCACAGGCCCTAGGCTTCTTCAGGGCAGCATCTCTAGAGGGTGGGCCTGGGTAAGGCCACGTGGGAGCGCGGGGGGGGGGGGAGGGGACTCCAGCCGTGCGTCCTCCTGCTCAGTTTCCTTTTTTAAAAAATGTTCTTGATTTTTTTTAAACTTTATTGTTGAATGTATTACAGATGTTCCTCATTTTCCCCCATTGGTCCCCTTCTCCCCACTCCCACGCCCCTCCCGCCTTTTCCCACACTGTTGTCAGTGTCCATTGGTCATGCATATAAGTTCTTTGGTTTATTTCTTCCCACCCCCCAACTCCCTTCTCTTTGAGGTTTGTCAGTCTAGCAACCAATTTGTACTTCTTAATCCCTTCACCTTTTTCACCCATTCCCCCAACCCCCCTCCCATCTGGCAACCAACAAAATGTTCTCTCTGTATCTATGAGAATGTTTCTGTTCTGCCTGTTCATTTTGTTTGTAGATTCCATTGCCGACAGATATGTATTCATTGCCATTTTGTTTGTTCACATATTTTATCTTTTTCTTCAAAAAGACCCTTCAACATTTCATATAATAATGGTTTGGTGGTGACGAACTCCTTTAACTTTTTCTTGTCTGGGAAACTGTATGGCCAACGATTCTAAGTGACAGCTTTGCAGGATAGAGTAATCTTGGTCGTAGGTTCTTGCTTTTCATCACTGAATATTTCTTGCCACTCCTTTCTGGCCTGCAAAGTTTCTTTTGAGAAATCAACTAACAGTCTTATGGGAACTCCCTTGTAGGAAATAACTGCTTTTCTCTTGCTGCTCTTAATATTCTCTCTTTGTCTTGAACCTTTTGCATTTTGATGATGATGTGTCTTGGTGTGGGCCTCTTGGGGTTCATCTTGTTTGGGACTCTGTGCTTCCTGGACTTGTATGTCTGTTTCCTTACCAAGTTAGGGAAGTTTTCTGCCATTATTGTTTCAAATAGGTTTTCGATTTCTTGATCTCTCTCTCTCTTCTCCTTCTGGTACCCCCAAGATGAGAATGTTGGCATGCTTGAAGTTGTCCCAGAGGTTCCTTACTCTAGCCTCATTTTTTTGGATTCTTTTTTCTTTTTGCCGTTCTGATTGGGTGTTTTTTGCTTCCTTGTATTCCAAATTGATGGTTTGCTTCTTGGCTTTACCTACTCTACTATTGAATCTGTGTAAATTATTCTTTATTTCAGTTAGTGCTTCCTTCATTTCTGACGTGTGCATCCTTCATTTCTGACTGGTCCTTTTTAATGCTCTGGAGGCCCTCACTAAGTTCATTGAGCATCCTTATAAGCAGTATTTTGAACTCAGCATCTCTTAGGTTGCTTATCTCCATTTCACTTAGTTCTTTTCCTGGAGTTTTGTTCTGTTCTTTCATTTGGGACCTGTTTCTTTGTCTCCTCATTTTGGCTGCCTCTCTGTGTGTGTTTCTCTGTATTACTTAACAAGAGGTATGGAGCTATCTGAGACCAGATGCTGCTTGTTTGAAAGAATTTAGGAAAACCTGAAGCAGGATCCAAGACAGGCCAATCCTATGGTTAAGCAACTGGCAATAGCTTGGGTGGGCCTGAAAGTTGGGTGGGGTGGGGCCTCAGGGAATCACCAGGGTGAGGCTACCAGTGTGAGCCAGGTTGCTGGAGGCCCAGATATGGCGGCTGTCTGCCGCCCCAGGGAAGGGCTCGCCGAAGGAACAGAGGTCTCTGACAGCACGTTTGTCCTGGAGAAATCTGCCTCTCCAGCCCTCGCTCCACTGCCAAACAATTCAGCTCTTTCCTGTATGTCTCTGGTGCCCCTCGAGCTGCCTCCCCTCCAAGCTTAGAGGGAGCAAGTTCGATAAGTCCATGTGCGGGCCCTTTAAGAGGAGCTGCCTAGGGCTCCAGCCGCCTCAGCCTCCCTGAGCCTCAGTTCCCGCTGGTTTTTCCAGCCAGAAGTGATGGGGACTTCTCTTCCTGGCACTGGGCACCTGGTGTGGGACGGGGACCCCTCAGTCCTCAGAGAGGACCTTCCCAGCCGAGGTGTCCTGATTTTTATCCGCCACACGTGGGTGTGGGACCAGCTTGTCTGCCTCTGCCCCTCCTACCAGTCTTGATGCAGCTGCTTCTTTAATTCCGTAGTTGTAGGACTCCCATTCAGCTCGATGTCAGGCAGTTTTGAATGATGGTTGTTCTGTAGTTTAGTTGTAACTTTGATGTGGTTGTGGGAGGACGCGATACCGCGTTTACCTACCCGCCATCCTGACCAGAACTTCCTGCTCAGTTTCAAGGAGCGGTTCCACGCCAGCGTGTGCCGGCTGACACCCAGCTGTGAGATCACCTTCATCCAGTCGGAGGACGGCAGCGGCCGGGGTGCGGCTCTGGTCTCTGCAGTGGCCTGTAAGAAGGCATACATGCTGGGCCAGTGATAGCAGCAGCGGCCAGGCGCGGAGGAGGCTGTGGTGTGGCTGGTCCTGGATGGACTCCAGGGGACAGTGCTCCCCACAGGTGCAGCCAGCCTGGCCTGCCTCCTGTCCCCGCTGCCACCTGGAGATGGGTAAGGCCCGCAGGAGAATGAGGGTGCCTCAGGCAGGCCAGCTCATCCTGAGTGGTCATCCAGCTCTAGGGCCCTAACTGGGTTACGGGCTGAAAGAGCAGAATGGAGATCCCCAAGACTTCTGTGTTTCTGCTGGAATCAACCATCCAGAAGGGAGTTGCTGGCTCAGGACTTTGTTGGAGCTTTTGGTTTGGCTCAGCCGTGCCTGGGCCCCACTCTGGGGAGGCGGTGCTCCGTGGACCCTGCTGTGGCCTAGCTTCCCTGGGAACTCAGCCCACATGGTGAGGCAGACCCAGGGACCTGGCCAGACCCAGGCCTGGTCTCCACAGGGGGCGGAGGCTGCTCATCACCAAGGCCTCGCCAGGCCGCTTTGCCTGGGGCTGGGGGGTGAGATGGGAGGGGACTAGCTCCAGTATGGAGACTTCGTACCAGGAGGCCTGAAGATGGCAGCCTCTTCCCGCCCACACCGCCATCCCTGGGTGTTTTGTGGTTCTGGGATCCACCCTCACAGGAGGCCCCCAAAGGCCCTGTCCAAGGGTCCAGGAAGAGGAGGACAACCCCACCGTGGGGCTGCCACACTAGCCCAGCAGCACTCGGCCCAGCCCCCAAGGGACCACCCAACCTCCATGTGCCACACCAGCCTCTTCATGCCCAACCTGGGACTGTGTGGCTTTTTTAAATTAAAAGCTTTAAAAGTTTAGAAAATGGCCTGTCTACCGTTCCTTGACTTCTGTGCATAAGACTGTGGGACAGTATATAGACATGGTCACGGGCACTAGTTTCCTACAGCCAGGAGTGCAGGCAGAGTGCGGACGACGGGGCAGGCTGTGGGAACAGGAATGGGATCATTTGGGGGTGTCAGAGGTACTGGACTTGCCCAGGCCCCCCTCCCGCCTGTGAGATTTGGGGTGTGGATGCACCGATCTAATCTGCAGCAGCTCTGAGGTCTCCGAGAGCCCCAGAAGTGCTCAGAAGGGAGCAGGGCTGGTCTGGGGGGGGGGAGGGGGGGCTGGTCCTGCCTCAGGACTGTCTCAGCAGGGATCCCTCTGTGTCACACCTAAGCCCAGTTACACAGAAACACATAATTGTATGATTTTCAGTGAAAGTACCCAAATCTGAATCACTTGTTTCCTTCGGAACTTAGCTCAAAGTTGTGATTTTGAGCAGGCTGTCCTCCCGTTTTCCCGTCTAGCACTGCTCCTGGTCGCTAGTCCTCTTGAGTTAAATTGTGCACCAGTGTCTCGGAGCCCCAGTTACTCTGCTACCTGATACACCGTTGCAGAGGTCTTCAATAGAAGTTACTTCCTACATGTCCTTATGTTACAGTTCAGGGCATTGTATTGCTTTTTTAAACTTCTCTGTGTGGGTAGGTTACATACCCTGTGAATTTCACTTTGGGAGTGTAAAGGAGGTGTTGTATTTACCTGTTACACAAAAGCGTTGGGTCTGACAGGCCAGAGCCTCTGCTCCACTTGCTGGGCCGTCTGCATCCCTCACCCCATCCGGCAGGCAGCAGGCAGGGCCATTCCTGCTCCAGCAGGTCCCCCACTTCCCATGCCTGCTGTGCCCTGGGCCTCCTCACATGGCGGCTGAACCCTGCATCAAGGGCTCATGACCCACTTCCTTGGGGGGCCAAGCAGCTGTTTTGGATCCAGGCAGTGCATCTGCCCTGAAAACCTTACATGCAGGTTCTTTTGGGGTCAAAGCCAAGTAGCGATGTCAGGCCAGAGACCATGCTCAGAACCACCACTGCCCGCCCAGGCCCAGGGCCCCAGGGCCATCTCCCCTCTTGGGCTGGGCAGGTCTGGGCAGGTCTGGGCTGGACCTGCAGCAGGGACAATCAGATGGAGGTGACAGGGGCCCCTTGTTCAGCACTGTGAGTGGTGAGAGCTGAGAGCCTGCTGCTGAGCTCTCAGGAGGCCTGGAGCCCAGCACTGCCCGGATGGTGGACACGGCTGTTACATGTCAGGGGCCTAAGGGTCACTGGAATGTGGCTGGAATCTGTATGGGGCCCTGTCCTCCCCCAGCCCAAGCAGAGGCTGCCAAGTTTGGGTCTGTCCTCTCCTCCTGTCCTTATTTGGTGCTGCAGGTGATAAGGCTGAGACATAAAGGAGTCTGTGGGCCCCTCGGGGCCACCAGGCTGCCACAGAGAGGATGGTAAGTGCCAGGTTGGGGGCTGGGGGCTGTCCTTCGGGGTGGGAGAGCAGAGCAGCGACTTCTGTGCCTGCCTAGCCTGCAGAGGTGGCCTCCAGGGGTGGGGAGAGGACCCTGACCCCGGCTCTCCTGGGACTTCTCCTGGGACTGCTCCATGGGGGCGTCTTGGGGAAGCCCCGGAGCAGACCCCCTCCCCACCCACACTTTGCAGGCCAGCAGGAAGGCGGGGACCCGGGGCAAGGCCGCGGCCACCAAGCAGGCCCAACGGGGCTCTTCCAACGTCTTTTCCATGTTCGAGCAAGCCCAGATCCAGGAGTTCAAGGAGGTGAGCGCCCCACCCCACAGCGCCCTGTCCCCAGGTTCCCCTTCCCTGTCCCTGCTCCCCCCACCACCAGCACTCCCTCACTTCCCCCTCACTGGGGTGGGGGCTGCTACCACCTGGAGATGGTGCTCCCCCCCCCCAGGCCTTCAGCTGCATTGACCAGAACCGAGATGGCATCATCTGCAAGTCAGACCTCCGGGAGACCTATTCTCAGCTGGGTGAGCACACCTACCTCCCACCCAGCCCCACCTGCTCCCCCAGGAGCCCGCCGAGAGGGGCCAGGCCTCCTCCCGCCCTCCGCTAGCTGTCTAGGGTCCCACACTTCACCTCGCCCCCATAGTTGCCTCCCAAAGCCTAGCCCTGGCTGGGCAGGAGGGGGGCCACCTGAGCCCTGTGGGGACACCTCACTCCCCGCTACCAGGGAAGGTGAGCGTCCCGGAAGAGGAGCTGGATGCCATGCTGCAGGAGGGCAAGGGCCCCATCAACTTCACTGTCTTCCTCACCCTCTTCGGAGAGAAGCTCAACGGTGAGCCTGAGTCAGCTCTGGACCCCCTGGTAGGGCAGTGAGCTTGAACCCCACCTGGATCCCCCTGAACCCCACCTGGATCCCCCTGAACCCCACCTCGACCCCGCCTGAACCCCACCTCGACCCTGCCTGGACCCACTAGAACCCTGCCTAGACACCATCCAGATCCCACCATCTCTTGCCCACCCAGAGGACGTGGGGCCCACCCCTGCATCCCAGACCCACAGGCACGAGTCACCCCAGGTCCCAGCTCGGTGTTGGGAAACGTATCTCCAGCCTCCACTCCCAAATCCCAGTCTTCTGGCAGGCCTGCCCACCTCAGAACCTTGATCTTGGCCTGTCTGAGCCCCAAGGGACGCTGTATCAGGAAACACTTTCCCACCTCTTCTGGGATGTGGGGGGCTCCCCTTGCACCCTGGGGTCCTCTGGGGAAGCCCTGGAGGCTGGCACCAGGGGTGCTCACCTGTTCCCTTGGCCTCCCAGGGACAGACCCCGAGGAAGCCATTCTGAGCGCCTTCCGAATGTTCGACCCCAGTGGGAAGGGCGTGGTGAACAAGGATGAGTAAGTGCGAGCTGGCCAGGCAGTGGTGAGGCCCCTGGGGTGAGCAGCCCTTCGGAGCCCCCTCTGTTTTTTGGGGGTTACCACCTGAACCATGGGAGCCTTCATCCCTGACCCAAGTGGCCACCCCCCTCAAGCTCTTCCCCTGCTCCTCACTCCCCCAGGTTCAAGCAGCTTCTCCTGACCCAGGCAGACAAGTTCTCGCAGGCTGAGGTGAGGATTCCTAGCTCCTTCGTGGGGTGCTCACCCCACAGGGCGCTGGGGAGGCCTCAGTGACCCCTGGCGCCCAGCTCTCTAGAGGAGGGTGTAGGTGGAGTCAGCAGGGGAGGGGCAGCTACAGGGGCGCCTGCAGCACCGGGAGGAGGGTTCGCCGTGCGGGGTCGGGTGGCACAGGGAAGAGAGCGAGCATCCAGGGCCAGGCTGCCGAGTCAGACAGCAGAGTCAGACTGTGCCTCTGACCGCACACCTCCAGGTGGAACAGATGTTCGCCCTGACACCTGTAGACCTGGCGGGGGACATCGACTATAAATCCCTGTGCTACATCATCACCCACGGGGACGAGAAAGAGGAGTGACTGAGGCTGTGGCGAGACTCGGGGCCGTGCGCCAGCCACCTCAATAAACGCTGTTTCCAGTGAGCCCTGTGTGGTGGCCTCTCTGTGACGAATGGGGTGGGGACCGGCCACGGGAGCTGAGGGCCAGATGCAGGGACCACCCACTTTTCAGTTCCCTCCATACCCATACCACCCAGTTTACAGATGGGGACATGGAGGCCCGAGAAGGGTGGGCATTGTGCCTGAGGACAAGCTCTAGGAGAGAGCAGAGTTCGGCCAGCTCTGCCCTCCTGGGACCCCTCCCGCACAGCCCCTCTCAGCACATGGTGGGGTGTGCTGGGCCCTGTGAGAGGCGCCGGGGAACCCTCTGAAGACACAACCAGACTACCTTGGAGATGCAGGCGAGGCACCGTGACCCCAAGGAGGTGCTGGGGTACCTGCGGGAAACCTGCTGCGGGCTCAGGGTTAAGGGTCAGATGGCTGCAGAGGGTGGGGTTCTTCGCAGAGGATAGCAATGGGGTGGGGGGCTGGAAGCAGACATGCATCCATCGGGGTACTGGAGAGCAGGGGGACCTGAAGTGTGGGACCCTCACCAGAGTGGGCACACAGAGCCCTAGTCTGGACAGGGACAGCTGAGCGAGCCTCCTACCCTCCCTCAAGCCCCCCCCCCCCAGGGGCTGACCTCATACCCTTCCTGGAGGGCCGGCGTTTTTGTGGGGAGAGGTGCTCAGTTTTGATTTGTATCTGGGACTTGACGATTTTAGTCACCACATTGACACTTGAGTTGGGAAGTTCTCTTACTATTGCTTTTCAGTAATCACAAAAGTCTTGGTCCAGAGAACTGCCCCTCGACTCCCCTAGGGTCCCTGCACAGGTGTCCAAGCCAACGGCCCTCCCTGGGACATGTCCAGAATGCCCTGCCCTGGGCTCCTGGAGGACCTTCCACGGCTCTGCCTCCTTCTCTGCCAGGGGCTCACATTCAGTCCGAGGGGTTTGCAGAGAACCACTGTCCAGCCCCAGGCTCCCATCCAAACCCTCCTGCCCTCCCCCAGTGCCCTGCAGGCCCTGGACGCAAAGGCTGGCGTCCCCAGGGGCAGCACAGGCCGCACAGGGCTATGGGAAATGCACCAGCTTGGGAGGCCCCAGCAGACGCGTGCCCAGGACAGCGCTCATGCCAGGGCAGGTCCGCTGGGCCCACAGGCGACCAGATTGCGAAGTAGAAGGGAGAGAAGGTCGATCCTGCTGCGAAGCAAGGAAACATTTTTCTCCTTCCTGTTCTTACGGCATTTCCTTTAGAAAACTTGCAGTTGCGTGTTCTTTCCCTACCTCTTTGTGCAAATCCACCCAAAAGCTCAATAAGCCTCTGGCCAGTTTTACAGCAGGACAGCTCCCAAGGTCGGGCCATTGCTCTGCAGGGGTCACCTGCCTCCCAGTTTCCTGGGAGGTGGGAGCCGAACTCGGGGCCCAAGCCGGCTCCGGTGGTGACGGTGTGAGAAGTCTGTTTCCCTATGGTCCAGTCCGGGCGAAGAGCCAGCCCAACTGCGGAGGGCGAGGCAGGTGGCCCGTCCCCGAAGGACCAGGCCCGTTCTCCTGGGAGCAGCAGGGCGGGTGCACCTGACTTCTCCCATCGCTGTGAGGGCACTGGTTCTGGTTTAACGCTCATTCAATAATAAATTTGATTTCTGTCTCATTACTTCTGTGGAGAGATTTTCCATTTTGACTCTTCCCAGCAAGGCCTGGCTCCCCCCACAGCTGCAGCTGTGCCTTGGGGGCAGGGCTCAGTGGCCTCCATGGTCAGGGAGCGTCCAGGCCCCCGTTGGTGGCATTTTTGTATTTTATCCTGAAACCCCTTCAGCTCCCAGCCAGGGCCCCAGGCCCTGCCCTGCATCCCCCCCTGCCCCCCGCAGTCCAGGCTGTCGCTCACACAGGCTGAGGCCAAAACCCCGTTTCAGCAGGAGGCTCTGAGACTTTGCTCGATGCCACTCAGCAGGAACGCGGGAGAGAACAGTACATAAGAGGTCAAACACACCCCTTCCTTTGCTGTGGGCCTTCCAGACACTGCTGGTCACTTCTGGTCACGGGCTGGGGTGTGGAGATGCAGAAAGGAGCGCGTGTCTCACAGTGGTCTGACAATTCCCTAGCAGAAAGTGGGGTGAGGGCCTTTGAAATGTGGCAAGCTTCCCGCCCCTGGGGCCACAGCTGTGTGCAAAGGGGCAAGCACGGGACAGGCGAGGTGCTGTGTGTCCTGTAACACAGCAGTCTAGTGAGTGATGAGGGTGTCAGGAATGTCCAGACTCCCCGGAGGCTGACACCAGGAGCCTCTGCAGACCTGAAGTCTGCCCACCGGCCCTGGTCCCCAGGAGCCAGCACCAAGGACAGGGACAGGAGAGGGGCAGCAGCCTCAGGGCTGAGAACCCCCCTGCCGCTGCCCTCCGTGGGTCCCCTCCCTCTCCACCTGCTCTGCCCTTCAGTGCCCTGTGCCCCAGGGGCTGGAACAGCCTCTGACCTCCCACCGGCCCTCCTGCTATCTGTGGAGCATCCCCACAGGGACAGGCGCTGACGTGAGAGCTGCAGGCTCCAAAATAGAACCCTATCAGCCCTGCCCACCCCCTGCTGTGCAGTCAGCAACACCTCCCCTCCTTCTCCCAGGATCTGCCAGGCACCCCGCTCACCCCTTCTCAGCTGCACACAGCCAGCTCTGGCCTGGTCTGAACCAGCCCAGGTGCCCACGCTCCGTTCATAGCCCCTTCTCATGGTCCTGCCCTCAGCACCTGCAGGGTCAAGCAGCAGCAGCCTTGCGCCACAAGAGACTGCGCTGGGGTGGTCACTGCCCCCGGAGGGACACAGAACAGAGGCCACAGGCCTGCAGGGGACAGAGGCCCAGGCCCAAGACCAAGTGACAGACAGGGGAGGGGCCACCCCTCCTGCCCGTGTTCCTTCAGGGCTCTGCTCTTGTAATGAAACCTACTTTTGCTCAATAAAGTTGGTCTGTGACTTTTTATTTTATTATTTTTTATCCTCACCAGAAGACATTTTTGCATTTACCTTCAAATAGAGCGGGAGGGAGAGAGGAAGGAGAGAGAGAGAAGCATCGATGTGACAGAGACACATCACATCTACTAGTTGCCACCCACACGACCCCAACGGGGGCCGGGGACAAACTGCAACTGAGGTACGTGCCCTGAGCTGGAACCAAACTCGGGTCTCTCTGGTCCGCGGGCCGACGCTCTAACCACTGAGAAAACTGGCCAGGGTGGTTTCTGTGACTTTTTAAAAAATAGGTTTTTCTTTATTTTTTTATTTTATTTTTTATTTTTATTTTTTTGTGGTATGTGCCCCTAGTGGGAACTGAGCCCGGGACTCTCTGGTCCACAGGCTGACGCTCAACCGCTGAGCCAAACCGGCCAGGGCGGTTTTTATTTATTTTTTAGAGAGGGAGAGATAAAAACATGGATGTGAGAGAGACACTGATCTGCTGCCTCCTGCCCCCCGCCCCCGGCATCAAGCCTGCAAGTCCCCCCAACCCCTGCCTGACGGGGAATCGAACCAGGGCCTCCCAGCCCACGGGACACGCTCAGTCCACTGAGCCACACTGGTCGGGCAGTTTCTGTGACCTTTGATGAAGACACATTCCCACCACAGGCCTGACCTGGGGAACAGACACTGCTGGCTGCCTGGCCCGGGGGCCTCGGACCTGCCTGGGCCCCTCCAAGCCAGTTTTACCAGCTGCCATCTGTGTCACCTCCACAGGGACCTCCACAGCCCAAGACTCCAGCGGCTGGCCTGGCCCCAGGACCCGCCACAGCTTCCTGCTTCCACCCTGCGAGGAGCAGCCTGGTAGTGCACAGGGTCACTTCACAAGCCCAGCACTGTCCCCTTCCCAATACCACTGATGCCGTGTCCAGTTGGTGGGGGTCGTTCCTGGTAACAAACCCTACAGAGGCCTAGGGGCCCAGACCTCAGCTGCACAAAAGGCAGCTGGCACCTGGACCCATCAGCCCCATGGACTGAGAGGTCCCGGTTAATTCCTGGTCAGGGCATATGCCCGGATTTCGAGCTCCATCCCCAGTGCAGGGCATGCAGGAGGCAGCCCATCGATGTTTCTCTTTCACACCGATGTCTACACATCCAACAGAATATTACTCATCCATAAAAGGGAACAGAATTTTTCAGACAGGCTACGACATGGGTGCACCTTGAGGATATTAAATGAAATAAGCTAGATACAAAAAGACAGACATTGCATGACTCCAGCTATAACTCTAGAATAAACTCATTCATAGAGACAGAAAGGAGATTAGGGGTTAACGGGGAAGTTCGCATTTAGTGAGTAGAGATTTCGTTTTGGAAGGTGAAAAAGGGATGGATCCTTAAGAACTGAAGGACAGCCAAGGACGAGTTTCCTGTGTGATCGTGCAAGGGAGACGTGCAGGTTAAGGAACTGCAAGTTCCTGAAACAAATTCTTGAAACTGTCTCAAAGGTTCATGAGGCCCATTGTGTTTCCACTACAGAATAAACAAACCTTGAAGATTAGATAATAGCAATGAACCTGCAACATCTGGCGCCCAGTGTGGGGCTGGAAAGTAAGCATTACACAAAACTTTCGGGATATTTTGAACGGAGTCACGGGGAATTCCCATCACTAGTGGATGAATATGTGGCAGTGATTAGGTCTCTATTAAAAAGCACTAAATTGTCAGTTAAGAAGCAGGTACTTCGTTCTCTCTCAACCTTAATAATGAAACACTGTTGTTGGTTTTCACCAGATAAAAGAAGTCAATTAAACCTGAAGGTTTGGAAACAAGTAGGAAAAGCTTTAAGAAGACTCATCAAAATGGGGAGCTGATCAGTGCTGAACTGTGGTCTGCTTTTAACTCAGTCACTTCAGCTTTTCAGCTTTTTCAGTCAGATTCAGAAAAAATGTCTGATAAAGAAATAAAGGAGGCTTCTCGTATCTATGACTCTTCAGAAGGCATTCCTAAGGTGGTAAATAAAGACACAGTTCAAAAGGGGTCTGGGCCTTGGCCGGTTTTGCTCAGTGGTTAGAGCGTTGACCTGTGGTCCAGAGAGACCTG